CCGATTCTTAAGATTGCAGAACATCCACAGCTTGTTGCCGGCTTGAACTCGCAACTCACTGCCTCAATTTTGCTTTGCTTAACCGCCCGGCCTCCTTGCCGATTCTGACCAGAAACAGGCGCACTGAACGGGATCGAACCCGCGTCTCTCTGCTCCAATCCTGGTACTCTGAACTTTAACCACTGGACCACCCTGCCCAGTCCAATTTCAGTTCATATTCCTTCTCGGAGGTAGCACGCTAGAGGGCTTTGCAGCCTATGAAGTTAAAAGCTTTAGCTGAGTGCTCATAGCCACTGCATACGAATACTCAGTTTAAGCATGCCCTCACCTCCGTTTGGCCTAACCTACGCTCTTTACCCCTAACAATACTCCCAAACCAAACCTTTGCTGACCTAACTCAACATATTGACTGTGGTAAGTAGAATGGTGGGGAAATTGAGAAGGAAGAACCAGTCATCGCTAAGTAAGGTCGGAGTAGATGAGGCCGAATAAAATAGCTTGCATAAGCATTGGCTGCAGAATAAAAAAGCGTGCATTAGCATTGATTGTAAACTTAGGTATAAGCTTTAATAGTGCGCCACTGGTCGGGCTATATACGCTGTTCTAGAGGAATCTGTGACTTCTGGCTCTGGGGCTAAGATTAGTTTTGCCTGCTGAAGCGGGACGTTCCAGGACTTATACAAGTGTTAAATTTGTGGCCCACGGCTACGACCCCCCAAAATGTGTGGCGTGGCAACTGAATAGATTTTGATAAATTTTTACGTCTGGAGGCTCGGAATACGACAGACATAATAGAGTTGTTAATGGTTCAGGCGAAGGTGTCTTAAGAGGGTCTCAGGCATGTATTTCTTCTACCAATAGCATAATATGTAGGGGGTTTGATATGATGTAGCTTTGCCATTACAGTGTTTCACATGAAAATTTTCTGATCATGACTCCGTGTACTTCCTAAGTTGAAAGGGTTTAAGATGTTGAAGTGTACTCGTACTCTCATTTGCATGCATCACTATTTATCGAGGTATGTTATGTATATAACCACAAAATCCCAATGTCATATATGTTTTGGGTACTATGAGTATAATTATTTAAAATATATTACGATAAATATTTAATTAATAGTAAATATATTTAAAATAGAAATGGAGATTGGGTCATGTCTCCAAATAATGTCAACTAGAATTCCTTTCGTTCTAAGTTGTCCACTAAGAAAGCGACTATTTTTATGATTGCTAAATAAATATATCATGTAAATTTTGAAGCGTAAATTTACGTGATTTGCGAGTTATTAAATTTCAAGGTACAAATAAATAATGAATACATTTTCCGCTTGTATTTATATAATACAAGTACAATGTATATTATATTAATTTGGAACTGCTTTACATATATGACTAAACTTGTCGTTCAAAGAGAACAAATAAAAACAAAACACGTTATATATCAGCGTAGGAAAAAATTCAAATATATATATCAATTTAGTTAAGAAAAATAAGGAGGAAGATGACGTCATAGGAGCGTGCCAATATCCAAACCATCGTATTGGGTTTGCTTGCGAAGCCCAAAAATGTTCGGTTAGAAATTAATAACTGTTCGACTAGAAATCAAAACCAAAAATAATTTTGGAAATGAAACTGTATAACAATTTAAGTTGGAAACAACCACGCAGAAATAGAAGCCTTAGGATCATACAAACTAAAATCTATGAATCAATTCATCTCCATCGATAACAATGATAACGTTGATATTCCTATATTTATCAATGAGGCTAACATATATCAGGTGATAAATCATTCAACATTGCAATTGTTATCACCATTCGTAGAATTAGATAACAACCAGTAGGTGAGCTGAATGTTGATAAGTTCCGCTAGAATAATTTTAAATTCAGCAAAATTATTCATAAATGACATCAATTATGTACAATGATATTCAATTAAATGAACGCAAATAATTTACGATCGTGAAATTTTTTTATTACTTGAGCTCAGATCTAGTATGTTCAATATGATTTTACCAAACTTATTCAATGACACTAACTGAATTTAAATGAAGTTTGGACTAAGATTATTAGATATCTAAACACTGAAATGAAACTTTACATTGTTTACCAAATGGTACATTCTAAGACCACGTGAAAAACAGACTGTTAGATTAACAGCAGTATTATTTAATTAGAATTCAATGCTAATTATTTGACTAGAACCATACATAATGCCGTTCGTCTCGGAAGCTGTTGGGTGTAAGCAAGCAATTAAATTGCTTTATCAGTGTTGTTAACGGAACCGTGCATTACCGTAATAATGTCTCAAGCTCTACTATATTCCGATGTATACTTGAGCATTGTACCTTAATTAAACATTTAGTCCTTGTATTACACATTAATATTAAAATTAAAACACTTAAACTTAGCGACAACAAGCGTATAATTAGAGGCAGCATAGGGAAATGCATTCAACTCGGAAGATTCTCATTAAAACTTTCCTCTTAAACGTAGACTTTGACATAGAATTAAAAACGATTGCGGAGATTGCACATCCAACGATTGCGGAGATTGCACATCCAACGATTGCAGAGATTGCACATCCAACGATTGCGGAGATTGCACATCCTAAGATTGCAGAGATTGCGCTTTCGTCGATTGCCGAGGTTTCAAAGATTGCAAAGTTTGAAGACAATACAGCGCGTGAATGGGGATATTGAAATATTCACGTTTAGTAATAGTAAATCTCTGCCATGAATATTTTTGACACGAGTGCATTTATTAGTTTGATTGAATTACGAAAAGGGTTCCGAATTTTCAACAATTTAGAGGCAAGGAAAATTGTTCCTTGTTCGTTGTGGTTTGTGAATTTGAAATGTTTACGATAAAATTATTAGTAAAAAGGGAAGAATGGTTGAAAAATATGCATTGTTAATTCTAGATCATTACATCAGCAACGTTCCTCCAAAGCATCATTTCTGACTTGCAGAAAAGGTGGAGAAATTTGGTGATTTTAATTTAGTATAGAATAGGGAAAAGGTAATATTTTATGCACTCAGTGTCACAAAGTGAACCCCTTCCGTATAATGTCTCTTGAAAAGACAAGATCATCGATAGGCCTCTTCAAAAATAAGATTCGAGCCTCAAAACACGATGTTTGATACAATATATTGATGAAATTATACGCTAAAGTCAGTTATATTTCTAATTAATTTCACTCATGCTCATATATTTCACATAACATTACGAGTATCATGTGAAATATTAAATTTTGATTTTATTCGAACACTTTTTCCAACATTTTTTTCAAGGTGGATTTCATTTTTATTTTGATTTTCATGTTTCAAGGAAGAGAAATGCGTCGAATGTCATACTTAAATATTGATAATTTGATTAGAGATAAAATATATATATTTTCTTAAATTCTGCTCTGCTCAGGCTCCGCAAGTTCAGCCGTGAAATTTAAGAGTTTTAATGAATAGTAAATATCAACCAGTCTTTAACCACGAATTATGAAATCTTCCTATGAGTTTAAATGCCGAGGAAAATACATTGATTTGCAGACGACTTTAAAGCTTTTTTTTCTCCGCCGTGAATCAAAATGGCATTTGAACGAATGGGAATTTGAAGTGAAATAAGAAAAACCATTGAAAGCTGCGAAGTAGAATTTGCAGTGAAATTGAAATCTTATTTAAATTAATGGGATTAATATTTAGCACTGAGACTAAAATCATATTTAAATAAGTGCGAATTGGAATTTGAGGTCAAATCAAATGACGTTTGAACGAATGGGAATTTGAAGTGAAATAAGAAAAACCATTGAAAGCTGCGAAGTGGAATTCGCAGTAAAATCTTATTTTAATTAATGGGATTCATAATTTGCACAGAGATAAAATCATATTTAAATAAATGCGAAAAGGAATTTGAGGTCAAATCAAAATGACATTTGAAAGAATGGGAATTTGAAGTGAAATAAGAAAAACTATTTAAATCAAGAGGGATTGGAATTGCCGTGAAATTGAAATTTTATTTAAAGTAATGGGATTCATAATTTGCACTGAGATAAAAATCATATTTAAATAAATGCGAAAGGGAATTTGAGGTCAAATCAAAATGGCATTTGAGCGAAAGGGAATTTGAAGTGAAATAAGAAAAACTATTTAAATCAACAGGGATTTGAATTAGCAGTGAAATCGAAATCTTATTTAAATTAATGGGATTCATAATTTGCGCTGAGATAAAATCATATTTAAATAAATGCGAAAATGTATTTGAGGTAATTATCAAGTAACATTTGAACTAATGGTAATTGTAATTTGAAGTGAAATAATGAAAAAAAAAACTTTTAATCAATAGGGATTGGAATTTGCGGTGAAATAAAATTGAGATTTTAATCAATGGGAGCAGAATAAAAATTATACAAAAGAATGAATTTTTTTCGTTCTTGATCACAAAAAGACTAAACAAATTAGTCTTACATGAGTCATTCTTCTTAAAATGCATGTATAGAATCACAAACGAGCATTTCATGTCCAAAAACACACACGAACAATTTATTAAAATGAACCTGGGGCCATACTTTCAAAACTCGCTAAGTGAGCGTAAGTACTTACGCTCTATTTTCTTGTCTACGATTGGTGGATTTTGCTTGCAAGGCCGTCAATGATTGGCTGATGAACTTACGATCTCTTAACTTTTTTGAAAGTAATGGCACTGGTGATTGAAATAGAAACATGATCAGCAAATGATGCGTAATTACCAATAATGATGAGCATGCATATTAAAAATCATCGGAATCAAGCAGCGGAAACAATCGGTCAGGCGGTTCAGTAGGCATTGCCTGCCGAGTTTTTAAACAGGCAGTCAACTTTTTTTAACCGAAGCATGCAAAATGTTTTTTTTTAGACTAACGGTCCAAGATTGCGTTTTATTTAGAACCATGCCAAGAAAACACCACATAGAAACCCGTTCAGGAGACAGTATCACTTTATTACTTTATTTATCCCTACTAACTCCGGACTCATGAGGAGTGTCCTGGAATTAATAAAATTTTAGAAAAAAAATCGCTAAAATGCAAATCTTTTACTTTCAGCGTATTACGGTATTTGAAATAATAAACGGCTAAAGTTCTTGGAAGTCAATAGCAAAATTCTGTTATTGATAATTAGCCGTTGACTCGTCAGTATCACGATACTGATGCCCTCCGTTAATAATTAGTCTGATAACAAATGTGATACACTACGTGTCTGACACTCTAGAAAAACTAATGGGCCACAATTACCAATTAATAGCAATTTTCTTGCCCTTAGCTCGAAAAGAAAGTGGTTCATCATCACCAGCTGGGTGAGGATGACCCACAAAAAGGCACGAAAAGTACATCACTATTTGGACAGCCCCATTCATTCAATCCCGTGCGCGCTGCTATAGGATGGGTACAGGATGCTTCTACTTGTCGTCTATCACGGCTCTCTACATCACGGCTCTCTACATCACGGCTCTCTACATCAACAACGGCTATTGTGTTCTACGAGTTTACAGGGCTTGATTTAAGTTTGCGGGCGTTATATTATTTTACGTGGTTCGACGGAAAACAGACTGTGCAGTACAAATGCATTCAATTTTATGTGCATGTACAATATTATTGTAACATTAAATCCTTGCGCCACTTACCGACTGAACGGTCGATCAGAAGCGTAAAATTAAAATAGAACAATTAAAATAAAAAATTTAATTAATTAATAGAAAATTCGGGAATTCAGTCATGGAGCTGCTAAATCCTTTAGCTGTAAAATGATCAATCGGGACATTCCGTCCGCTCAAAAATCAGTAATTTAAATATTTTTAGATTGACTTATAAATTGGACATTCAACACATATTATAAATTTATTATAAATAAAAATTGAACTATTGTTACTTCAAACTCTATCGCCAAATAATTGTTTATTTCGCCATTGTAACGTACCATTGTCTGAACAATTTGCTCCTTATAAATGAGCAGGAGTCCGAATCTTGTCAAGCGAGGTCTTCAACTTCGTACTTTCTCATAGTTTCCAAAAGATAAGCGAGAAAATTAATTCTAACCAAATACGACCACAAAAAAAAAAGAGTATCTTATTGAGCATATTTGATTATACACAGAATTACACAGAGTAAAAGAGTATCTTATTGAGCACATTACGTAGGATTGTTTCCGTGAAATTGCAGGTTTGGAAGAAGTCTTTTTCGAAAGTTCTCGTTAATTTTTTAAATAAATGCATTCAAATATTAAAATGTTACTAAACGTGATGTGTTCCCTAATTAACAACAGGGAAAAATGAATCAATACGATAAAAATTCTACTTTCCTATTCGCCGTTGAAGCTCAAGAACAGATTTGAAATGCATTAATATATTTCAGATAAAAAACACACACATACGGTACATGTATAGGCTCACCGAGGACAACCATGGAGGTGGCGAAGAAGGAGTCGATGTAGGAGGCGTACTTTGGCTCGAGCTCCCCCAGACCTCTGGACACGAGCCTGCAGGCGCAGGTGAGGACCATCTCGATGAGGAACCCGTACAGCACCGGCACCTGCAGGTCTGCTGAACACACGTCCACCCCGCGGCCTACGTGTGTCACCGCCAGCTCCATCACCCACAGCCGCTTCACCCACCTATGTGGTGACCACGGTGGGTTGATATTGGGACCACGGTGGGTTGATATTGAGACCACGGTGGGTTGTTATTGAGACCACGGTGGGTTGATATTGAGACCACGGTGGGTTGGCATGATATGGGGACCACAGTGGGTTCACAAGATATCGGCACCACGGTGGTTCAAGATTAAGATCGCCAAGACTGGAGCAGCGAGTTCGATTTTCACACTAGCTGTGAAAATTCTGGCCGAAAACGTCAGGTCGCACGGTGGTTAAGAATCAGCTACGGGCCAACAAGGCCTATTCAAAAGCAGAGTCCACTATTATAGCTAAGCTCACCTGAATGAAGCAATGCCACCGATGACCTGGGCCACAATCTTCGTCACAACCTCCTTAGGATCAGAGCCGGTCTCGACGTACTCCTCCAGCAGGCTGTAGGGACAGGCTGTGGCCGCACCCCAGGACTGGCCCCACCACACCGTCATGAGGAAGAGATACAGAGCGTATGCTCCTACGCCGTAGTTGTCAGCAACTGAAAAACAGGTACAGAAACATCAGTAAAATTGCGAAGAAACGAGAAGAGATTTGGCCTGTGACGAATTTTGCAATCTTCGAATATTTTTTGTGGAAAATTTTAACGGCCGTTCTCTCTTGTTCAAAGTTAATCTTCCTGACTTAATACGATCGTCTCTTTTGTGTACAAATGCAGTTGTACGCAATGCGCATCAACGTCAGTCGGAATGACGTCACGCAGCTTTTATCCCAGACCGGCGGAGCATAAAGGGAGAAGTTGCCGAACAGAAAATGTACTTGTACAACCCACATTCGGCTGTACGAGTTTATGCCGAGCAATGTGGTGTCTAGGTTTCTGATAGCGACTTCAGGATTTTAGCTTCTAAAACTGGTCTTTCTGAGTTGCGACTTTTAGAATCCTACTCACATATGATGAGCTCAAAGCAGGTGCTACTCACTGATGATGAGCTCAAAACAGGTGCTACTCACTGATGATGAGCTCAAAACAGGTGCCACACATCTCGGCAGATGCGACGAGCTCGAGGATGGCACTCCTGACGAGGTCGTGGCTGATTTTGGACACGACGTGTGTCCTGATGACGTGCGACAGCGCCATCTGGGTGATGATGGTTAGCGTCGAGACGATGATGGCAAGCATCTGTAGAGCAGAAGGATGGCGGAGAGTGTCATTTGAGGATACTTGGATAAAATAAAATAATTTTTAGGTGCAGTACAGAGTGTAATCGCTACGAACAGTGATGTGCAGAGGTCAAAGGAGGAATAACGGATAATAATGAAAACCATGAAGTAATTAAAAATTATAAAGGCACTATTGTAAAACAGAGTGAGGAGAAAAAAAATTGTAATGGATAATGACAGGCAGTTGCCAACGGTGCTAGTGTAGTGAGATACGAAGAATTATATTTTAATATGTGTATATTAGAATCATTTACGTAGATGATAACTACGTCAATAAGATTGTTAGAGAATCTGTAGTTGTTATAAGAATTCGACTGTGTTAGTAGAACATAGATATAAATGGAATGGTATAAACAGAATGGTATAAATAGAATTGAATAAATACACAATTCATTATAATAAAATTGTATGGGAACGTCACTACTTGGATGTTAAATTATCAGAACATTGGTGAATTCGATCATTGATTCAAGAGTAGATGATATATAATCTATAAGAATGAGTGGTAGATTTGACAAAATAAGGGCATTATTACTTTTAAATGTAGGTTTAGAATGAATTGTTTCAGGTGTCAGCGTAAGGATATCGTGTGAAATAAACAATTCGCATTACTATATGGCCGCCGCAAAAAAAAAGACAATTGCTTAAAGTCAGAGACCTTATATACTGAGAATAGAACGAACATCAATCAAGAAAGTGTGCAATTAAATTTCGTACAATAAGTACAGTAATCGAACCAAATTACCTTCGAAAACAAAGCTTAAAACTTTTCCATGACAACTGAATTACATCCTTTTAGCCAAGAAGAAAATTTTTCAAATCGGAACTGTTGTAACTGGATTCATTTTTTTCTATTTACGTTTGTGGGAAAAATTCTCTACCTTATAATCATTAGTTTTCATATATTCTGTATTTTTAATTTAAAATTGATTGAATATGCGACAACGCTAGTCTAACTGGACCATTTTCGAAATAAATTATCTTAATTTTAAATGTCAAACTTGCAAAGGTTTAGCTGCCGCGAAATGAATAAGTTTATTGGCATAAATTATTACATTTATAGCTCCAAAAAAGTTATCCGCGAATTTCAAAACGAAAAAATCCAAGTAAATTCAATAAATCTTCAATGAAAACGGTTTCATCGAAGATGTACTGAATTTATTAGGACTGCGATTTAAGCAGACAAATAACATAACAACTTATATGAAAAAAGATATGTAACAATAAACATTTCACCACCTCCGAACGCATGCGTTGCAGCTGGTTAAGTCTATTCCCATTCCCATCAACTCCTCTGGAATTCACGCAATTCCCAAACTTGACCTATAGGAATTGGAGCCAGGGGGACCTCGACGTTGATAATTCAATAACGAACAAAGGCTTAGAAAAAAATGCGTTCAATTTATTTAGATTTCATGGTTAGAATTTGTGACAGCATTTATATATAATTTCGAAAAATTTAGCATGTAAAAATATTTGTTTAACCTTTTTACATTGTAAAGTTTCAGGTAATTTTTAAATTCATTGCTGAATAGGAATATTGTTTGAGTTTGTTTCAAAGATCAACTTTGGGCCATTATCCATTGAATTCGACTGAGGTCTCGCACATATCTATGTAACGTCAACAATGTTGTAGTACGAAAAAATGTTCATGTAATTGAATTTGCTTTAATTCAAACATTGAATATGTGTTCTTATTTAGCCACCAGTGAACGGTCGCTGCTACGGCAACAAAGTGGCCAGATTTAACACAACTCTGGCAGGTTTTGGACGCTGGCCAGAACGCTGGGATGTTGCATAGCAGCCGCTACACACGCTGTATTTAGCCGCTTAAATCCCAGGTAGATCGAGGGGGGTGGGAATACCATTTCATGCACATTAGTTTTTGTTTTGAATAACTTTGGTAAAATTACCTTAGTAATATATTATATGTATCTCTCACCCATTATTTTTGTGTTGAATATTTTCCGCATGCTAATCTAGCAAAACATTAAATGGATCTCTCACGTTTCAATTGATTTTAAGACGCGAGTCAAGAAAATTTATTTAGCAGGCATGTGTTCTTTACTGTATAGATTTGTTAAGTCAATATTTCATGCGAGTTGCATATTCTCTGTTTCTTTTATAATTTAATGCTTGTAAAATGATTAGCTTTGGTTTGGAAAGCATGAATTAAGCCAGCACAAAACAGCATGTTGTCTTGTTCAACCCCAAATATCATATTTGTATGTTCAACCCCCAACATCATGTTTTTATGTTCAACCCAAATATCATGTTTTAATATTCAACCCCAAATATATTATCTTTGAATGCTCAACTTCAAATATTTTGTTTTTATGTTCAACCCCAAATATTATGTTTGTATGTTTAACTCCAAATATTAGGTTGTCATGTTCAACCCCAACATCATGTTTTTATGTCCTTCCCCAATTGTCATGTCATGATCGATGCCCCAGCGCCCTACTTCCGCCCTGTGCGCGCGCTTATTTTTTGATAAGTTAAATGTTGGGCGCAGGTTCCGTGGAGTTGTGCATGCAATCGAGTTTTTTATGAATGTGAGTGTTCCACTGTACTCCCTCCGGTCACTGCACTGCAGTGCAGCTACAGTGATCCGGTCACTGCATTGCAGTGCAGCTGCAGTGCACCGGTCACTGCATTGCAGTGCAGCTGCAGTGCCCCGGTCACTGCACTGCAGTGCAGCTACAGTGATCCGGTCACTGCATTGCAGTGCAGCTGCAGTGCCGCCCGGTCGATCCAAGTAGCGCGTTCAAGCAACGGGCTCCGCTACTGCAAACTCTTACGAAATTCGACAAGCGCACCACGTGAACGTGAGGATGAACATACCAGTGTACAGTATATTAATTAAATGACGAAGAAAAAAGTAGTTGACAGAATCCGGGATTTTTTATTGATTTAGGTTAATGAAAGAAAGTTGCGAATGTGGAGTAGCCAAACGCTGTTCAATATTTTTAAAAATAGATATAATCAATGTTACCAAATAATTGCGTTAATTAACGAAATTAATCGAACAGAAGAATTACTTCAATTTATTTTAAATAAAAATAATTTTTATTTAAGCCTAAATAGGATCTTGAAACAATCGATAATTATTGCAATAAAAAAATTAGCAAATTCACTTTACGGGCAAAAGATGCGAACTTGAATGAAATGGCGATGAAATCTAAATTTTCAGGTGATCAATCAAACAAATTATGTAAGATTTTCATTTCATAAGTTGGACTATATCTTAAATCTTGAGAGTTAAAGAAGTACATAAAAACTAGCTACATTGTCTTCAAGTTATTTGTACTTTTCAAGTTGAATGAACTTCTAGCGCTGAAAATTTTAATTTCATGAGTACGTGATTATTTTTGTATTAATAATGATAAATGACGCGGTATAAACCGTACAAATAATTACGTTGATTTCGTGATAATAATTATGCAGGTTTTATGATAAGAATTATACTTGTTTCGTGATAATAATTATGCTGGTTTTATGATAAGAATTATACTTGTTTCGTGATAATGATTATGTTGGTTTCCCACTTTCTTGTCATGAAGATGTTCAAATGTTATATAATCTTGTTTTCAATTATCGGCTCAGAAGATCCTCAGTTATAAATCACCATCTCCTCAGCTGCAAATCACCAGCACCAGTTACGTTCGACTCATCTTCGCAACAGAAATGAGTATCATCTATGTAAACACGTCACTCTCAGTTTAGCCACACGTTCATTACATATATATTATGATTTAAATCTGCGATTCCCATGATTAGTATCATCATGTACTTCATCATAATTTTACCCTCAATATCAACAGTCTCTTTTTCTTAGCGTATATAAATATCAGATACTTTTTAGTTAATTTAATAGTAAAAAACTACAAACGCTCGTATAAAGACACCGGTGCCATGCATGAGCGTAACCGCCCACCACCATCCACGGTGACGGCTGAAGCCTTACTAGCGCCGGACAAATTTCTCGGGTGCCCTCAAAAAAAATTCCGGACGAACGGAAAACTCGTGACGCGATGCGTCCGCAGCACCGGATGCAAGGACTTCCCTTCTCTCACTGAGAAAAGACAGCAATGTCGTCTGGTGGCTCAACGGCAATAGTATCCTGTATTTTTAACAGCAAACAGGGGAAATAAACAATTTTTTTTACCACGCAAATTTGCGTCGCAGAACAATGCGTAATCCATGTACTCAAAGAAATTAGTGAAACATTGTCCAAATAGCGATGTGTAGCCCAGCATTTTAAAAGACGTATCAGTTTTACGTTTGCTCTCAGCTCGTATTGTGGGTGCGAAAGTATGTCACTATTAGGACAAGATGACCTATTCATCCTCATGAGAAGGAGTGGGTAGAAAGATCTGAGATCTTTGGTAGTCCGTATGCGTTTTTTAAAGTAAATTATGCAATTACCGAGCTTGGAAACTGAGTATACCTAGTGATGAGTCACCACCTAGTGGTGAGTCAAGGCCTTAACTTATGCATCAATTAACCACTGGACAAACATGTCTGAAGGCTATGTTCTAGCAGCAGCAGCTGTGTGTTCCATGCGAGGACTTCGACTCTGATGTTAGATTCAAGTCACTCATCATTTGTCAAATTATCATTCTCAATTTATCAATACAACTGTTGAATATTTCTGAAGTTACGAGCAAGCTAATGAAAAAGTCTTACGAGAGACAATCCCTTTCTCTATTATACTGATCAACTAATCCATCGCAATTTCGTCGAATGAGTAAAAATTTTCAGGAGAAATCCTGAGTCGTACGACGATTATTATGTATACTTTTCAATACCAGTTTCTCGTAATCGTTGTTTTCTCGAATATGCTTACTTACAGTCTGCATCTTCATTGAGAAAGATCTCACCTTGGCGCTCATGTCAAATAGGCCCGTTGATAATATATTTTTAGTAGAACGGAACAGACCTTACCGCGTGCTGCATCGGTGAACGGTCACTCAAAGATGTCGTTTTTGGGTTACTCTATATGTTATAGTCTCATAAATATTCGATAGAACTCGATCTTAATCATAACTTTAGACGACAAGGATTCATGGGTATTTATGATGCTTTTCTTCTTCGTGAAGGTAAAACCTTCTAAGAATTATTTGTGCAAAGACTTAATGTTTCTAATCACTCGCCATCCACAAATTTGGCCTCCAGAAGATCGTGTCACTGATAATGCTTGTTGACATCCAAAACGCAGTAATTAATCGTCACTCACAGATTCATCCTCTGGAAATGGCGTCACTGACGATGGTTGTTGCAAGAGAAGATGCAGTACATAACTAGCAGCCACAAATCCAAAACGCAGTAATTAATTGTCACTGACAGATTCATCCTCTGGAAATCGTGTCACTGACGATGGTTGTTGCAAGAGAAGATGCAGTACATCACTAGGAGCCACAAAGTCACGAGTCTTTTAACGAATTGCAGGATTGTCTCCATCAGGTTCAGCCCACGGGACACCCTGGGCGCAAATTCTATGGCCAGCGACATGACACGGAATTATTAATCGAGTTGCGCAGCAAGAAAAACGTAAAAGTTTTTCGTTTTCGAACTTGAGGTGTCCAAAAGAACTTTGAAATCTATAGAATAAATTGACTTGAGAGTTTTTCAAAATATGATTTCGATGTCCGTTCGCTGAGATACGCTTTGTTCGGTACGTAACAGCTATTTAGCGAAGCTCGGTATTCAATTTTTTTTTTGTTATCAAGAACTATTTTTTATCCTTTAGTTGTTATAAATCACACGACTTGAGTACGGCTTGGACCGAAATGAACGACATCGTGCACAAGACTGGAACATGTGCGGAAGAGTTTCTTGCGTTTGCTTAGCACAAGTAAACACCGAACACTTGCCGAGACTCCCAACCTCATACGTCACTCACGACCTGTTCAGCGTTCAGCAATGTAGAAAAGTCACTCACAGCCAGGTCAGCGATGTAGATAAGTCACTCACAGCCAGGTCAGCGATGTAGATAAGTCACTCACAGCCAGAGATATAATGTTAGGTCTTGTTTAGGTTTTATGTCTGTCTTTGAATTTTGACTTTTAAAGTGATTTTATTCATTTTAGTTTAGTCGAACTGATGATGGAGCTGGACTCCGAAACGTTTTCAATATCGATATGGTGAATTTTCTTGGCGTTTTCTTTGCTTTTAAATTCCTTGAGATCTTAATAAAAGATGAAAGCTATAAATGTTAAATGAATGATCACATTATTATTATATTTATTTAGAGCATTAACGGTTCTAGTGCGAGAGGTTATAGTTCGCAGATTTTGTAGCTTCAAGCCATAATGTTTTTTTTTTTTTGTCACTGAATTTCCTGTTGATAATACCACTTACAGATCAAATAAATTTGTATAATGAATTAAAACGGCATGAATTCGCCTAGGCTGCTGAATGAATGATTTCAAAAAAATTGTGCAGTTTGGTGGGAATTTCTCACGGGAAAATTCAACAAATATTTAAAAAAGGGATGGAAAAAGTTCAAGCAGAGCTTAAATGAGATGTTTATTTAATATAATTAAACAAATAAAAAATGTACATTTTCTGGTTTTGGCCATGCTGCAATAATGTAGAATTAAATGTTTCGAACACGCAATTTACTCACTTTTATGGGATATCCGGATTTACCCGCGGATAAATCAAGCAAATGAAGATAACTTTTTTCGAGAAGGTTACGATTTTCACCCCACCTATATCATCTGTTTGAAATACGAATAATAATTACGCAAACATCTTCATACTTAAAGTTGAACTCTACTAATGTTGGAAACAAATGGAGGTGTGATGCAGTATATTATATTATAATACAAGAATAATAGTATAATGTATCATAGTACAGTTATTATAATGCACAAATTCTCGCGATAAAATATAATATTATCTTGAATACATTGATATTTTGCACTTAGTTCCTGAAATCCTATCTATACTCGACTTCCACGAAACATAAATTGAATGTAGGATTAAATTTAACTATCATTATAGCACATTTAAGATTATTATTAAATATTATTAAATATTATTATGCTTAACGGTTAATGTCACCGTGGTACATATTCAAGCGGTTTTCTGATGTCACATGGAATTCATTGGTGCGGCTTGAAAATCGCTTAAATTATATTTGAAGACCTAGCTGCAGCTCGGTGCTGATTATTTCACTAATTATACTTCAACCGAACAAAAAAAATATACGATGGATTTATAAATAGTATCGATGAAACATATTCTCATGCCACAAGTTACACGGCACGATTTCAATCCACGACAGGAACCACTGACTTCTGCGATGCAACCACCCTGCACAACTGCGTAGGCCGCACTGAAAGTCTACCGTGGTTGCCCTCAGTTTTACCCCTACTGAGCAGTGATTTTTCTCAAAACCCCATGAACAATCTTATATTGTAAGTTATTTGAAGATTAATGTTTTGCGATCGTGTTATCTGAGCCTTAATCTATTTAGGCTCTATGCGGTACTCAAATCCTTATTTCGCGCAAATAATATATATATATATATACTAGAAGTAAACAAGTTACTTACTGAGAAGAAGTCAGCTTGCATTGTCAGGCTGTTCTTATATATTGGCATTGCTTAAGTTGGAAGAATTGGTCGAGAAATTGAGTTCTCTTCTAACTTCGGTGTAAATAACTTTGCGACTAACACTGAACAAAGTTTAAAAGACGATGCTGCAGTGTCGATGGTGAAATTTTGATTAAAAAACTGTGACAATTATTGAGTAACCTTATGCTTTTTTCAATGTGCAATGAAATTTGCCGAAAATTAGTTTATTCACGTCAAGTTCGAACCAAGCTTTATAGCTTTCGATAATATTTAATAATATTTATTAGTTGTAGTTGATACCTCAAATTCGTATCTATGTACAACCTAAAACCGCTATATCAGCACCCGGGTTGAGATCATTATTAGTAACTTCGTTTTGAGGTAATAACGCTAACTGCAAGAGAACGTTGAGCTAACTTGGCAGTGAGCGCAGGTGTACATGCCTTGCCAAGCTTCTTAAATGCTAACACCAACGCTAGAACTCTTAACAGTTTTATTGACGACTTCAGTTATATGAAGGTATTTAAGAACTTATAATGTTGACAAATTCTACGTGAACATTTTCATAATATTTACGCAGGAAATCCGATGAAAGGTATTTTCAACATCGAAGCGGTAAATTTGCATCAGTCGAAATTCTCAATCATCTAAGTGGTAGTTCAAAAAATTCCTCCAAGGATACAAAAAAATGCCACTTTTAAAATACGGGTAAAGTTACTAAGTTATGCATTCGAACTTATTAGTTATTTGTGTAGATGAGCTTTAGTTTAAAATGCTTATGAATTTAAGATATCATCAAACAGCCTAGATAGAAGGTAAGAATACAACGGGGTTTTGGTATTTTTTCTTGTATGGGTTGGCAAGTTACATCAAGAAGCGATTAACCGTTAATTACTTCTAACAGCGGAATGTCCGCTAGAATTGGCCGCGTATTCATCCCAATATTATTATACATGTGTTGACAAATGATGATGGAATGTTGTTAAAGACGTAAACGTAATGATGACGTTAACAGCTTATTGTGGTATCGTAAAATGGCCAAGCCTAAATAATTACAGTGGCGGATATGGCTATACGACCACCAAGTTTTTTCTAATATTTTTTCTTTCACCAAAAATACGGAAGAAATATTTTTTTTCATTAATATGCGATCTTACCTTTTTTCGCCTTAATTGCCTCAATGCATCTTCTCTTCATGCGATTTACCAAATAATCTAGAGTCTTTTGAGAAATTTGATCCCAGGAACGAAGGATAGCCGTGCTCAGGTCACTCACAGATTGGAGCTGGCGCTCATTTTGGTAAACATCTCTCGCCATGATGCCCCATAGGTTTTCAATGGGGTTGAGGTCAGGACTAAGCGCTTGCCACGGCAACAGGGTAATATCCTGTTCTTGGAACCACTTGTTTGATGACTTTGAGATGTGAATTGGAGCATTGTCTTGCAGGAGAACATATGATCCATCGTGTTTCTCATCGGCAAAAGGGAGATGATTGTCAAATAGCGTGTGCTTGCATGCCCCTGAATCTTGTCTCCCTTGTAAAATAGCTCGAGTTGATTTTCCTTTTCGGCTAAACGCACCCCAAACCATGACTGAACCAATACAAGATTGCCGCATGGAAAATAATTCAGGCTCACGGTCCAGTGGTGCCAATAGCATTGCCATCCATCTGGACCCTAATAATTGATTTTTTTTTATCACTGAAGATAATCTTGTCCCATCCCACACAAATAAGCAAATTTTTTCAACAAATTTTAGTAGGTTGATAATCTTTTGTTTGAGCATATGAGGGCATTTTTCCGCTTTCTTTTCTTCGAGTCATGCAATGTCTGACGGATGCCTCTTGCTGTCACATCAACTCCAGTGGACAATTTTATAGAAGTAGAGGTAGCTCCAGCTTTAGAAGCTTCTGAAAACAGTCGCCTAAGATCCCTTTCGGTTAATTTTGGGGTTGGTCCAAGGTGCTTTTTCCATCCGTAGCCATCCGGAGTAGCAAAAAATCATTGTATAACGGTTTTTAGCATTTTATTTCCTTTGCGAAGTTTCGTTGACTTCTACCGCATTTCGCAAAAGCCAAAATCTGCGCCTTCTTGGCCTCTGTGAGTCTTGTTCCATTTGGCATCTTTTTTACTTCGAAAAATTTTAAATGATGATACCAAACTACACCAAAAGCACCCTAACTGGCAAAAATCGGGATATTTTTCATGTTGCTCTACTTTTTAACCGGAAAATATTACAGAAAGATACATGAATGGAGATTAACCTATCATGGTCTTATTAACCATTTCCACCTAGGATTTTCGCATTTTCATAATTTCCTTTCTTTTATTTTGGAAAAATGATTTTTTAGTATAACGATGCAAACATTTTTAACGTATTTTAACCTCGTATAATTAGAATACCTTTTTTTTATTTGCAAGAAAGAATATTTAGAGAAAACTGGGTGGTCTTATAGACATTTACGCCACTGTAGGAGGCCGCTGGCTTGGAGGGGGAGCGCAGCCGTGCACCACCAATTTTGTGCACCAATAAGCCCTAAATCGAACGCCTTGGATCTCTCTGGATATCCACCAATCAGCCGTGCACCACACAGCTTTGTCCTCCTCCTACCTTGACCACCACTTGCCGTGCACCACCAGGCCGTAGATCGAATCTGACTTCCAGGCATCGTTAAATTACGTAATTTTACGTTCACCGCATCTGAGGTTAGGTTTCAGATAGCACAGTTCTGTTCCAAAATTTATCGTCCTTCGACAAGTGGCCGTTCGACCGAGGGCTGGTTCGACCCACGGCCTAGATACAGACGGCTTGAAGTGTTGAAGGCTACGTTCCGGAAGGCAGGAATCATGATGGTCCATTACATCCAGGGCAGTTGTGGTCTTAGGCAGGCGACCCCTTGGAGGTTGTGGCGTCCACTGACACGATGGCTCGAGAACGCGCCGTTCATGGTTTGTTCTTACTGCATTAATTACTAAATCTTACTCACGACTTGTTTTCCTTGTCCAGTTAGCTTAGTTACCTTTAGTGACCATAAGCTTTATTCCTTTAATCTCGACATAGGCTGCAAAAAAGGAAGCAAAATTTGTAGTCCAATTTAAAGATCACCAATGCCTCAAGCGTCTAAAATAAACACACTTTATTTGACAAGAAACAAGACCTAGGCTTCATTGGCAAATGAGTAAACATTGTACACTCTCGAACAGGGTTAGGACTCCTATTTCCCATTAATGTTAAAGAAAAATGGTAACGGCAACTCAGATTTTTATTGAAGGTCAACAATATAAAAAATGTAACTCAGTACTCACTGCAGTGAGTGACAGAGAGCATTTACTCGTCGACGAAAACTTGAGGTCACGGACAGACGGACAGACAGACGGACGGACATGGCGAGCACAATAGTGCATTTTTTCCATAAATGAGAAAATGCGGTAAAAAGTACAGGATTATTCTAAATAATGAAACCAAAGTAATAAATCCGTATTTATTCAGGTATAAATTCAAATGAATAATTCATACACCAATGGAAAGATTCAGTTATTTTACACATTTATAAATTTTATAAATGTTCAATATGTCCCCAGTGCGTGGCACGGCAAACATCTCAACGGCAGTTAAACTCGTACCACACATTGAACATTTATATATATGTAAAAATGAACATTTCATCTTTCTCTTCCCATTGATTTATGAATTATTTAATTTTGAATTTATACATATAAGAATACGAATTTATTAAATTGAGTACATAATTTAGAATAATTCCATATATAACTTCCAGAAACTGAGCTGCCAGCGCGTTATCATTTCATTATTCAGAGTGATACTTAATACGCTCATCTCACAACAAATAATTCAAGAGATAAATAATCAAGGTCTGTCTTGTTTGATATCTCCATTGAGATGCCAGTAACGAAGATACTTTAACAAGACGGTCACCACCAACACGTTGACACTATTCCCTATGAGCTGATATTGCTGGCGCGTGGTGAGCGAGGCAGGGAACGAAAATGATGAAGGGAAACACATCAAACGCAGACATTCCGAAGGTGAGAAGAAACGCAGCTTTAGCGGCAGCAGAGGGTTATTCAACTCGGAGATTTCATCATCAGATAAATGATCTAGTAGCGGTTCAAGAGGACGTCGACCTTCGTTATTTTGTTCTGTAATGGAACCTTTAGTTTCGGTAACAATCTCGTTGTTACATTTCGACGATCTCCAAGTTTCAAATGCTGCATCCAACGCAGCACGGCCTGAGGGATTAAAAACAGATCCCGTGCCTTCCACGAGTCGCCCATACGCTTTAGTGAAGCAACAACTCCGCTGGCTTGTGTCATCAACTATATCCAACAACATGGCATACCTGACAAGAATTTTTGGTTTCAGCTCAAACTGGGACATATTTTTCATCAATGTTGAATTGTCTTCAACACTAGGACCAGGAGTAACATTAGATCCATCGTTGCCTGGCGTCGCATATATCGGACAAACGAGTCTTTCAGAGGCTTGTTCACCGGAGTTAGAATTAAGTAATGTCAAACTTCCTCCTTCTAATACAGGGCGGTGGCACTCGGAAAACTTTTGAACGTCATCATGAATGATCTGATCAAGTTGATCATTTTGCGTAGAATTGATGACAGTTTTATTTGGATTCGATTTTATTAGAATATTGCCTTGATTATCAGGCTGCAACGAGCTGCCTAGCGGCGAAGAAAAAATTTCCTTCTCTAAAAACTTCGCAATGGGAGGAGTAACATCTGCGAAAGTCTCTGTTTCTCCTGCACTTTCAGATTGATTACAAGGAAATTTATCAGGAGAGACATAAGACGGAAAATGGAAACGGGAAAGCAGCGACAGAATATCGTGGATTATGATGCGATGACACGTCTGACATTCTTGGGCCTTATTAACGTAGTTTGATGCTTTCAGGTTTTGACCAAAACACAAACAAACCGGAAACTTGCGCTGAATCTGAAATAAGAAACAAAATTATTAAATATCTGGCTTCTATGTGTTATGTGAAATTACTACGCTACTGAATCAACTTGTGGTACTACGTAATACTTAACATTCATTATTCACTCAACTGCTGTTAGTGTCAGCATAGAGACATCACTGACTGATACGAAATAATATTCCGTGAAATATTCCAGTAATATGATTCAACCGAGCACTCAACTTGACTGATCCCTAAACAAATTAAGTCAAGTAGAATAACAGCAACTCAAAAATATTGCTTGTATAACCCTGTCGACTCAACCCATTACGTATCTGTGGATAGCTACATTCCCCGGTCATAAATACTAGTATAGAAATAGAGATAAAATATAAGTACTTATATTATTAGTCCGCTTATATCGCAAATTCACAAGGAATTTAAAAGCAAAGAAAACGCCAAGAAAATTCACCATATCGATATGGAAAACGTTTCGGAGTCCAGCTCCATCATCAGTTCGACTTGACTAAAAATTTTAGTTTAGTCAAACTGACGATGGAGCTGGACTCCGAAACGTTTTCAATATCGATATGGTGAATTTTCTTGGCGTTTTCTTTGCTTTTAAATTCCTAATAGAAATAAAAAAAAAGGGAAATATCGTGAACAATACTGACGTGACAAGATTCGGTTGTAAGGGATTCATGACTTCCTGCTTGGTCTGTCTGGTTGGTATCAGGAGATAATATTGCCAGCAGGTAATACCGCAGTCGAGAGTTGGGACAAGATTCCGTTGTAAGGGATTCATAACTCCCTGCTTGGTCTGTCTGGTTGGCATCAGGAGACAATATTGCCAGGAGGTAATACCGCAGTCGAGAGTTGGGAACACCAAGCTGCGAGGGGCACAGTAGGAACTCCTGAAATGGGAACCAAAATCTTAACAATAACAGGGAGAAGCTTGCAACCCCAATAATAATAGCTGAATATCAACAATTGGACACCAATCTTTTCAAGTTTCTTACCACCAGTGTAAAAAAATGCAACAGATGTATTAATCTACGTATTAATACAGACATAAATACAGGCAAAATTTCCTATAATGCAACATGACCTACTTGGACAAGTACGAATGGTCATTTAAATACAAGACACACAAATCTAATAAAATTACAGTCTTTGCCTTGGAATAAAAGCAAAAACTACTTCCATGAACGCAGAGTAGCCATAAAACGAACACACATAATCAATCGTGGAGATATATTGGTTTAGACTCGCCGTGTTACAAATCAATAACCTGACAATGGCTCCAATTTTTATTTTAATTGTCGTACCACTTATTTATAAATTTCAAACTAGCATGGCACACAAGTCACACCTGGAAAAGATAGCCTCTGTTTCTCAGGGCCCGAGTAACCAGGTTCCTGGAAGAGGATGTCTCAAAGCCCTTGACGTTTTCAAGGAGCAGCATCGCCGGCAGCTCCCTGACAGTCTGCAGCAGCGTCAGCACGTGCTGGAGGGGCTCGCTGCGAGGGTCTGATGTGTCCAGCTGTAGACCCTGTCTGACAAACTCACTTTCTCAAGAGATGATCAGAAAAAAAATCGCAGTTTGTTACTCATTCGGGTGAAATGCTTTCGAAAATTTCGTAACCACTGCAGATGACGGAAATAGATTTAGCAAGCACCAATAAATGGAATATATAAAGGTCAGAAAGATGAGCAGTGTTTTAGAAAGATGGGAGGACTATTAACGATACAAAAATTAGATAAACCCAGATTCAATGGAACCATAAACCATTTCCTGACTCGAAACTATCTAAGGTACCTAGTATCAAGAGCTTGGAAAAACGTTTGAATGGGGCGCACTCAAGACTTTCAAGAGTTACACAAAAATAATTCCATGATGCTGAATAACAAAACATAATAATAATAATATGAAATCGTGATAAACACGATCTGGTTCAATGTCATCTTTCAATGATCCTCTTTTGGAAGATATTGAAGCAATAGGAGCATTAAATATGTGGACATGAGAGGCAGACCTCGTGAAGGGCTGACAGGGCGGGGACATGGTCAGCAGGTCTGGGCTGACTGCATGCCACTCATCAGCTGTCAGGCCCAATAAATTTCTTGGTTTTGGAGAGGTGCTTCTTTTGGAATTGGGTTTCTGAAGTATAGAATAAGTAATCAATTATCTACCAAGCAAAGTAGCTTCATCACAATAAAAGGAGGGAGAAAACAAAATTTGAGTCTAAATTTTTAGACATATAATTAGAGACAATTTAGAGCTGGCTACTTCAGGCACATAGGAATCATGGCAAGTGAGCCAAATCACCAACGGTACTGTAATATTAATCTAATTTTCTTCTGAGGCAAGTTTTTAAAACTCAATTGAAAAAAAAAATGGTTTTATTTTAAAAACGTAGGGTAGTCAATTTAAATGACTGATTTGAGCAATATTCTTGCCAGCAAAAAAAAGGAAACGGCTTAAGATAACTCTGTAAATTAAAATGATGGAGATCTCTTAGACGTGAAAAAACAGTAGGTACCAGTATATCATAAAACTGTCTTGCTGGAACCATTGAGATAACCTACAAATGCAATAAAGAGATATAGTATTTATACACTTACTATGAGACAATTGGTATCACAGAAAGGGTTAGCACTAAAAATGATCCAAGTCACCTCATATAATGGTATACATTATAAATTTAATATTTCCATGTACCTATCTACTGCCAGGCTAAAGCAAATAAAATAAAATCACTTACATGTTTGTAAAGGCAGCCCACTTTGGGAAGAATGACTTTTGTCTCCTCTTGATCACTGAAGTTGTGGCAGTAGGCAAGAAGGGCACTAGGGTTTATTTCATAAGGGTGAACAGAGTCAAGTTCTAGACCAGCTTCTGCTCATTGGAAAGACAGAAAGATGATATATAAGATGAAATATAAGATGTTCAGTGAGAAGCCTTGAATTCAATTTCTTATTTACTTCAATATACACTAACACTTGTCCCAGTGGCTGTTTAGCTTTTACTCTTTACCTCATCTCCACACATGTCAAAGAAAAAATTATGCTTCAGTTGTAAATACATACAAGATCATTAGACACTGATAGCGTGTCTAAAAAAAAAACTACACAGAATAAGGCATTGACACAGCTGTCCTTGAATCATACAATCTAAACAAACACTCGGTCATTAAAAGAGAATGATGGAAGATATTCTGTGAGGAAATAAATTAAGTTTTAATTTTGGAATTTTAACTGAGATAAAGCTAGTTTATTCTTCCAACTTCTTAAACCCATGGGATGGAACTGGGCAGAACCTAAGATGAAATGTGAGGAATGAGGGAGAGAAAAGTGATTTATGTGAGGAGTTTGTATTGTGCATTATGGTATTATAAATGGAAAGGTGCAAGAGTGAACAATAAAAACAGGTGAGAACAAGTGAGGAGAGACTGCAGCAACTGTGGCTGTAATCTGGAGTTACAATATGCTAGCAGGATGAAAAAATATAACTCAGTAGTACTCACTGCAGTGAATGACAGAGAGCACATTTTCTTGTTGACGAAAACTTGAGGTCACGGACAGACAGACATGGTGAGCACAATAGTGCACTTTTTCCATAAATGAGAAAATGCGCTAAAAAGGAGGCAGCTGGGAAGCATATGTAGAGTTTTGATGACTGGGAAGTGGAAAAAAATTATAATACAAAATAAATGAACACTAACAACAATGAATTTCTAAACTTGTGCCCATTCAAGAAAGTACAGTGCAAACTGCAAGCCATTAAAAATAAACATTCTACGTTTTTTCCATGTAACTCCTAAAGGAATGGATTTAGCACTTTGATAGTTGTATACCAAACTATGATGCTTCTACTACTGTCAATGCTTAAAGAATTGTCTGGCTTGTATTGCTAAATGGCTTGAACTAGGAATCAAAAGTATACAAAATTAAAAAAAAATTAGCTTGGGTTGTTTTTAGAGTCTTGATAATGATTTTTCACTTGAATACATCTCACACTTTAATATGAATAGGTATTATATGATAGTACGTATATAACAATAGTGCTGAGATCTCAAGAAGTCTTAGGGAAGTTCATCTCTTTCAACTCAACATATTATAGTCTTCTTTTAACATGGATGCCATCTGTACTATTTTATAATAAATTATCAAGACTAGGCAACTTTAGCCTAGTAATAACATAAGGTATTTCAGCATCCCTAATTTTTTGGCTGTCAATCTCTCAACATGTTCAATAAATCTATGATACAACTTCAAAGACTTCATGGATTCATGGCTAAAAAAATTCTGTTGTTTTAGTATGAAGGAAAAAATTTGTATTCTTCACTGCACTGAAATTGAAAATTGATGAACTGATGGCTCTAATGTTTTTATTGTTTTTCAAAGAGCATATAAATATTTTAAACATTTGTGCTGAATATAAAATGGATAGCCTACTTTCAAAAATCCTATCAACATGTGTTGTGAAGTGTGAACACAGGGAAAATGGGATCACATCATCACCACTTAATTTAGCAGTATGATCATTACAAACAAGTTCAATTTAGATAGTTTCACTGACCTGAAAAAGACCTATGATTATTTTATGTATAAAAATTACAATTATTTTACATAAAAGTACATATATTTACCAAGAGCAGCAGTTCTCATGCCTCCAATGCCAGCAAAAAGCTCCATCATTTTCAAGCCACGCCGACTATTGGGAGCATACCCTGCCCGAGTGAAAATATCAGCCATTGTTGCTGCGGGGCTTGGATAAATGCGGCAAGCGAGAACTTGGCCAGTTTTTATATATATTCAAGGAAAAATAAGGTTTTCTTTCGGAAGATCCTTAGATCTGATTGCAGATAATCGTAGATTGCAGCGTTGATGTTTTGAAGTTTCGACAGCCGAGATGGGAGAAGCAGGTTGTCTGTAAACAAATAAGATTTAGAAATATAAAAAGCTACACAAAAGATATACAATAAATTTCCGTCACATTCAAATCTTTACTTAAAATTCTGACTTGACACGTATGATGTGGCCTAGCTAAGTCTTTTAACCTAAGGGTAAATTATACATTTCTTAATTCAATGTTTATTTGAACACAATAAGATGACGAAAAAAAGCTTAATTGGAGCACGATACTTATATACAGATAAAAGCCTTAGGGTAATGATACAAACCATTTATCTAACTGATAGGTACGACTTGTCCAGTTAACGTCATAACGTACCGTTGTCACCTGGGGGCAGTGACAACGGCTCAACGATTCATCTGTATTCACCTGTGAGAACGGATTATATTGTATGACATTAGAACCTGCATGTGGAATTAAATCCTTTGTGATTGACTTGCAAAATAATAGTTTTTCTCAAAATCGGACAAAGTGAAAAAATTATTCAGAAATTTGTACTTATTACTTTATTAAATATATTTTGTAGAAAGAATTCATATGTTCTGATTTGGAAACAAAATAATGTAATGATGTGATGTCCTTTTGTCTAAATTCTTTCATAACATCTATCGTCTTGATTACGAATATACTCGCGGAAAAAAACGTGTTTGGTATTACATTGATAAAATCTAAATTACTTCTTGTTACAGCCTAGTTTTTCTATGTGCCTCTAGGAATGTTGTCGTGCAGAAGATCTTGAGAGTTGTCCATTTCTGGTAAGGCGCAATAAGCGGGAAGGCGTTGTTTGTTGTTTGTGTGTCGATCGGCAACATGGCGTCGTTATGGTAGACGTCTGAGATTCTTCCTGCAAAAATATCGCTTTCGGAGGCGACATTAACAATTGCTCTTAAAAAATTAAACTTAGCCTTCCGTCTGGTTTTGATGGTAATGCATGCGAGGAAACTACCACGTATAAGCGATGGGTGAGTCAAAATACATTATTAAAAATAATTTACGCGGCACTGAGGTACGTGATCACGGTGAACGGGTGAAGTGTACGCATGTCCAAGTTAAGTTTTATTCCGTGTTAAACTCTAATTGCTTGATGTTCGTTTTGATTTCAATTGATAGCAGAAATATTTTTTCCTATTGGAAGCTTTGTCTTATTATTTTTGACTGATTGACTCTGTGTACAGAAATCCATTAAAAACGTATATCGTCCGTTATTGCTGTAGGCTAGCTACTTTTTAAAGTTAAGCCTATCATGTTAACTTGGAAAAGGACTCTAAACTTGACTATAAAATTTGCAATTTCAATAAGAAATGTCCTTGATGACATATGTACCAATTAAAGTTGCATTGTTGCTTTGTAGTAGAACACTTTTTTTTGTAATCTTGGGTTTATTCCATCAGCTGATCAAGTTAACATTCTCATTAGGTTTGGCATGAAGATTAAATTGATAAATTTGTCTATAGCTATAAATTTTACAGGTTGATTCTATAACACAGGATGTTTACAGTCACATAATAATTTAATTGACTAATTATTGAAATTTTTGTAGGTGTAGGGTAAAAGCACCATATTCCGACACCGTTGGTAATCCCAACACTTCTCAACTTTTTCCTTTATATTAAGCTTTGTCTTAGTTCCAACTTCCATGCATGCGTAGATGGTTGAAATAGTGACGTCATACTATTGCGCGCAATATTTCCGCAAAACACTAGGTCTGGCAGGAAAATGTTAAGATCCGCAGTGCAAAAGTCCGCGTCACCCAGTGAGAACATTGAAACGCATGTGAAAGTTGATAGTTGATCTTGCTCTACCAAATAGTGCTAAACTTTTTGTGTAGAAAGAATATTATGGTTTGAGACTTTTCAAATAAGTCTGTGAATATATTAGGAATCCTTTAAGTATACTTGTACTATTTGCTGATTTTAAGTGTTAAATAAATTAATAGATGATTGATTTGAGAGACGGTTTTACCGTTTTAGACACATAAAAACTAATTCCAACACGGTGCCAGAATTTCGACACAGCCATGACAGCCTTGTGCATGGTGGCAGGGAATTATTGTGAGTACTTATGGGTTTGCAAGAGCATCGCCCGGTCCGGCTCAGCGGGGGGGGTTGGTAGGAAGGGAATAACGAAAGTCTCATTTACGACTGGACTAACCCATTGAGCAACATTTTCTCAGTTATGGTCTCATAACAACTCAATTTTAGAATATGTACAGTTTCGAAGTTGATATAAGTAAATNATGTGTATCTTCACTAGTGGTTTATCTGTAACTCGAAAATTTTTGCAATGAATATGTTCCAAAATGAATAAAATAATTAGGTCAACTATTTACAAAAATAAAATCAACAAAGTTTTTTGGTACCAAACAAAATAAGATAAACTTGATTTTTTTTTGTGGCATGTAGCATTTTGTAATGGCAGTGGACAAGTCGAAATATCCCATTCTAACCCACTCTGTTTGGGTAATGTCAAATTTGATTTAACAATAAATAGATATGATCCACACTTAGATTTAAATGATGGAAAGCCATTTCAAAATTTAAATACCTCTTTATATGCTTCCAGATAGTAATCTTTCTATGCTTTTGCACAATTTTTTTGATATTGTCTTTCTGACTTCACTTCAGATTCTAAATAATTTCATCTCTCATTGCAAGTTTTACCAGGTCTCGTGTCATCTAGACAATGTAAGTTGTTTATTTGAAAGATTTATTTTATTTTGATAAATCAGAGAGGCAAGATGTTTTAACTTGGCCATGTACTATTGTTAAAAATAAAAAATTATGTATTAGAAATTTAGTGTTGTTAAAATTTGCTAGCACTGAGGCTTTCAAGATTTTAATCCAAAAACTCATAGAAAAATATCTAAAATTGTTTTTTTTTAAAAATAATGTTCATAATTTTCATAACTATGATGCAAAAATTATTGATCAGTTATGACTTTAAAAAAACATTTAACAATTGATAAGACCAGCACCTAGATGAGCAAACATAACATGAGGTATTTTTAATTTTAATGCCCAAAGTTCAATGTTATTTTGATCAATAATTTATAGAACAATTCCATTGTTATCTATTGATTCTGAATTGAATGACTATAAATGGATTTGGTAGGCAATTTATGAATCCCTTTTATATATAGGAGAAAATTTCCCAATTCAGAAATGTTTCACGGATGAATTCTGTCAAACAGGGTAATACGGGATGGGCAGGGTAAATCGGGACAGGCGTCTCACATTTTGTAGAAGTGTTGTAGCTGCTAAACTAATGTAAAAATTGCAAAACTAAAAATAGTGGTGAAGAGTTCAACATTTTTACTATCTGTGTGGCATAAAGCAAATTAAGAAATCATACATTTACTACTACCACTAAAAAAACCCTGAAAAAAGTGTGAAAAATGAGATTTTGGAAAAGTACCTCTGCTAAGATTTGTAGAAAAAAAATATTCACTGTATTAAAAAATTGTACTTGCATCAAAGTTGCACACAGGTGTTAAAAAAAAAAACACTTAAAAACAGGATTGATGCAATTTGTGTATCACATTCTGCAAAAAATGCCGCCCATTGCTGCACGACAGGGTAATGTGAGACCCCCCCCCACAAATGGGTAATGTGAGACCCCCCAGACAGGGTAATGTGAGACCCCCCCCCCACAAAGCGGCAAAGGCTCCAGTTAACCAAAAAACCAATTACCAACAAAAAATTTTGATTATATTTACCTCATACAGCAAAAAAAATTCATTTAATGAAAAATTAATGCATCATTGGCCATCACAAAATTGTGCATAGAATATCATGGATAGAATTGTGCACTGGGCAACATGGAATGACAAGTAATTACCTAAGCTACCTATGATTTATTTCTCAAAAAAAATTTTGTGGTTGTCAATAAATTATTCCTTTCTTTTTCAGGTATGCTTATATAATATTTTTTTGTTATAGTGAACGTCACTTTACCCAATTAAAATGGTGTGATATTACAAGCTGTACTGTAAGCTTACCTTACCTTATGACCTTATGAGTTTAGGATGTCGTAATCCACGGTCACACTGATGCACCGCCTTCGTCATCCTCCGTCTCTGAGTCGTCGTCGGATGTAACGTTGGACATGTTCCGTCTATTTGCCTTCCTTTGGGCCACCTGATGCAAGATGCTGTTGCTTGTCACTTGCTGAGGGTGATTTCCCATTACTGGACAATCCGGGATCTTTCTCAACCACTTGTCCAGTTGTCTCTTGAATGTTGCAAGAGTAAACTCCCCTCCTCTCAGCGCTTTTGGTAAGACATTAAAGAGCCTCAGTCCTACCACGGACAGTGATCCCTCACAAGAGTCTGTACTCTGGCCGTGGCTTGGTTATTAAATGGGGGAATCCTGCACAGTCTCCCCACTTCTTTCGTTGTAATATGTCATTGTTTTGGAGGTCTCACTCTCAAAGTTGGGAGCCAGTCTTTTTATCATCTTCTAAGTGTACAGTATGATATACCTTTCTCTTCTTCTCTCCAGGGAGTACAGTTCCAGGTGTTTCAGCCTTCCCCAGTAGTTCAGGGTACAGATACAGAAGAAATGATGCATGGCTGCTGATATGAAGCTTGCAGTGGACAAGGTCATTGTAAATGGATATGGTAATATCACATCAATAATATGATAATGTATGGATATGGTAATATAATATCAATAGTGGTAAAAAGTAAAAAACATAGTAAATGTCATCTATTCTACATCTACATCATCTACAAAGGAAGAGGAGGACTTCAGAGTACTGGTACTCTGTTAGTAATGGATAAGTACACTTTGCATATTTCAAACGTTTTAAAATTGAGTTTTATGTCAAGTGTCCCAGATTACCCCTTTCCCAGGGGTAATTTGGGATGCTTTTATTCTGCATCTGGCACCTATCAAATAGCCTATGGATTTTTTTTTGGAGATGCCATTCAATAGCCCTCACAAAAAGCTTTAAAATAAGCCCAAACTTTTTTATGAAATGTTTCATGGTAAGAAGTTATTAACTAAAAATGCTCAAAATTGGCCCTTTTTACCTTGTTTGACATACGCTTGAGAAAAATAAACTATTGTAGTCAATGAAGCCTTCAAAATTACCAAATAGTTGATATCAAGTATTTAGGTATAAGAGTGAGATCATCTTAAGATTTGTCAGAAAAACATTTTTGTTCTCAAGATAAAACATAGAATGTTTTTAATTTAAAAGAACAGTAAAATAACTTACAAGTAATCAAAATGAGCCCTCACTCACTTGGCAACTGCCAACTGAAATGCCATTAAGCACCAGCAACGCTGACTGGTGTCTGGCTCAGTCAGTGAGATTTTGGACCAATCAGTAAGAATGCTGCTAACCAGAATCTGGACCAATTAGCATTCTTTTGTTGTGGGCGTACATACATAATTTTTCTCCCCCAATTTATCTCTTCAGTGTGCATCATTTTGAGCAGTGAGCTCTGCTTTTGGCATGAGATTTTATTATTTCATTTAAGCTTAGTTCATTGTTTTCAATTATTATTAATGAACTAATGCATCTACTCGGTCTAATTAAATTTTTTGAATGTTTGTTGAACTTTCAAGTGATTATGTCATATGGCATTGAAGGAGTGAATGTGACTTTTTCTCAAATTATTAAACACAGGTTTTCAATTTTTCACACATTTTTTAATCAAAATTCTGGCCTACATAGATTGAAAGGAATATATGAACCATCAGTTTATCAGACCCTGCAGGCTAGGGTCTTTAAAATGGGTGAAATTGACTGCAAGCACAGGGGTTTTGTCTCGCTCAAGGTGCAGGGGTTCAGCCCCCATTCAAGCAGGATTGGAATTTTCCTACTAATTAATGAAATCTCATGGCCCCAAAGTGACATGTTTTATACATTTGGAATCTTGTGGCCATACCATTCACTTTTGTTAACAATGAGATACATACAAGGTTATTAGTCTAACGGAAATCTTGCTGCTCCAAAAATGGCAGGAAAGCTCTAGTTGTGGCTCAAAAGGTAGATATATTTCACACTAGCTTTTAAGGGCATCTTCTGGCAGGTTTTCCAGAATAGCACAGTTTGTACCATTTTATCCACAGTGGAAAATTTGGCAGAAGTTGATTGTGTACTAAGCAGACTAGCCATATCCAGAAAGATCTAGGTTTTCACTAAATATTCTGGTGCCAAATGTGATGCAAGAGGCCCACTAACAGGAAGATGCAAGTTTTTGGAGAATTTTTTCCTGCTAAATGAGATTCTAAAACCAATGAACCATGCACATTTAGGACTATTATAATTTGATAGATATAGTATAGATATAGTATAGATAGTATAGATATAGTATAGTTGTATAGAGTAGGTGGCGGCAGCTGGCCACATGCATTGAATATATGTATGAGCACTAATGCTTACAAATGCATAGATGTACAGTGAGAGGATATGATCACCTCATTGCACAGCCACAGCTGCCACCACTGTCAGTTTCAGCAGGCATTGAATGTATGTATGGTTACTAATATATATATTTGCATGGATGTGTGGCCAGAGGATACAATTGTGTTGTCACACAGCTGCCCGTGGTAGCTGCCAGCATTTTCAGCAGCAATAGGCATTGGACATGAATATGTGTGATTGGTACTACCACACATGTGCGTAGTTGTAACACCTATGTATGCATTTATGTGCCATCATTCATCTGGTACTAAACTATTTTTAGCGCATTTTCTCATTTATGGAAAAAAAGACGCTATTGTGCTCATCATGTCTGTCTGTCTGTCCATGACTTCACGGACAGATGAGAAAATGCGCTCTCTGTCACTCACTGCAGTGAGTACTGATCTAATTTTTTTCTCATAAGCCTAAATGTGACTCATAGGAACTTGGCAAGAATGCTGCTGTAACAAGTCATTTCTTGCAATACCTACTTCTCTGAACTGGGAAATAATATGGATTGAACAAATTTGGAGTCAATATTTTCTCTACAAAATAATGTTGCTTATGTGCTGTAAATGAATAACCTCCATACAACTGTTATTTGACTATAAATAAGAGATGTACAGTCAATTGAGCAGGGAAAATTAATTGCTATTAACAAATCCTGCAAGAACTAAGACTGCTATTAAACATTATTAAACATTTCCACTTAGTTACTCAGTTTTGCTTGTCAGATTTGATACAAGAAGGCTGGCTATGATTGTATGAATAATGGATGCTCCACAAGAGAAAATGCTCCTATCATTTATAATGAAGCCTTTTATTTCAATATGTCAGCTTTACTGGTCCACTTCTTTAATTCGTATGTGAAACGTACGAATTTGCCTTCACACAAACGCAGATCAGACTTCAGCGTGTGAAGTCGATCGGGATTTATTTAACCTCTAAAATCCCTTCTATATGTCATCACTGTCTTGCTGTGCGTCAATCCATATAAATTCATGGCATATAAATATATAACCTGCCAATGAGAGTGCACCTGTAATTGAATGAATCAAAACTTGGGTATAAATATTTACCTATAACTGAGGTCATCCCTTATTTCTATCATGTAAATTGAGTAAAATTGCGGTGTCACCTGCTGTTTTATAATCCACCTGTAAAATGGTCAAGAACACTGCCCTGATTACGGATTTTTGGTTTATTGACATGTACTTAGATTGAAACTCTTTATAAGAAATAATAAATTTTAGTTTCTTCATTTCTTTTCTTGTTGATTGGAAGTTTGTATTTTTGTTAATGTAGGTAAACTCTAATTTACTAATAATGTCTTATTTTGTTAACAGGTTTACTGAGAAGCATCAGAGCCACAGCACATATGAGGTAAGTTCTATTGACAGTTTACTGATTATCAGGAATGCATTTTTAAATTCAGTTTTTTTTTGTAACTCAAGAAATTTTAGTCAACATCTGTTTTAACCAGTAAAGTTAGGTACTCTCTATGATATGATGCATTAGTTTGAGGATTTTCTGAAATTAAAACTTTGAATTTGATTCAGATTCAATATAAACTTTGAAATTCTTATTCTACAGACACATACTGTATTTTGGACCTACTGTATTTTGGAGCGTTCAGTCGTTCACCATTTTACTCCCATCTTAGTTTCACTGTTCCACTCAAGGTTCTTGTTCAGCCTGACTGTTTTTGCTGGTCTCAGTTGAGTGGAATTTCTATCCACTCACTCAGGTCTCAAATTGTACAAGCATAATTTTTTTATTACTGAATTTCTAACAAATAATGAAATTTTACTTAAACAAGCTTGCATCAGTCCATGCATGCCTTGCAACAAAGTGGCTCTTTTTAAATTACATAGTAAATTTTTTATTAGTAATTCAAGTAATTTGGTACATGATTAAAAATCACTCATTATTCTAGCTCTTTTTTGACTACTTCATAAAATTTCTCCATTTTGTAGCAGCTGCATTTGCTTGTGTAACTTTTGCACGAGTGTTGTATTCAATTCATCAGGTTATTTATACATGCACCCAAATTTTCTGCAATTGGCATGTTTGTTTTTATCTGCAGTCCGCCAAGTACACAAGCAGCAGCAGCGCTGGTGGAGGCGGCGGTGGTGGTGGAGGTAGTGGAGGCACCAAGTACAGGGGAGGAGGAGTGGGTGCATATCCTGACAAGAGAATTGACTCGCCCTCAACAAATTCCCTTCGCTCATCATCGCCTGACTCACGATCTCAGTCTCCACGCTATCATAAAAGTGAGGCTTACTTCTTCAGTCTCTGGAGGAGCTTAATATTCTCTTGTGTTGCAAATATTTTTAATGAAAAAACCATTCAAAATGGTTCTTGTGAAATACTCTCTTTGACTTGTTAGAGAGTATAAAGTGTGATCTGCCTGATTAATTATACGGTATGGTATGTGTCTATCTATTGTTTATGCTTATGTTTTCCCTCCATATGTAATGTTATTTATTTGAAGGCTTCCCAAATTTTATCCTATGATAGCAGGAAAAGAAGTCACTGCTTAAAAATAAGTGTATTTATTTGAGTTAAGTTTATTATGGTTTGGTTTTCTATGTTGTGCACACTGACACTTTTTCTCAATGTTACTAGTCAATTGAGTGCAATCTTGGAGTGCATCTGTGTTGATTTTTGTATACTGGGTTAACAGCTGTTTATATATTTCTCAATTTATGTTTCATCATGTCCTTATATATAGCTGTTAAAAATTGAATTGAAGTTGTAAATTGTTTCATATCGTCTTTTGTTACTCCAGGCATCAGTGGCAGTGCCAATTACTACAAAAGAGAAGCCTACAGAGATAGAGAATTCAACTCTAGAGACTATAGAGAAAATAGAGGTGAGGCTTGCTCTATCCTTGCATTTTATAAAAGGAAATAAGGTACAATGCAAGTTTTCATGTGTATTTTTTATTTATGTACACTGAAATGAAATACTTATATATGCTAAAATAAAAAATAACTAATATTTTTTTATTGGTAAATTTGACTATTTCTTTGAGACTCTGCAGGCATTTCTTTGTTTGTAAGTATAATTTGTTTTCTTCATGGTATAGGCTACCATTGGCTGCTCATAAAATACCAGTTGAATGTTGATAATATTAGCTTTTTGCTCAATTCCTACGCCATTTCCAGAAGGAAGCAGATCTCCAAAAGAGCGTCGGAGAGATGGCCGGGAGCGTGATGCTGCGCATGTTTCCCGTAGTACAGCATTGGTGAGAATTTTGTGCCTCACTTGAAAATATTGTTACAACCTTCCTTAACCCTAGTTGTACTGCATACAATGTTACAATCGTAATGAGTTTAATACTTAAGGTACATTTGTAGCTATGCTGTCAAACAAGTGATGGTACCAAACATTAAGAAGAAATCCTCTACTCCAACCAATTTCATGTTGCCTGTTGTCTGCATGCCAAGAGCAAGTCAAGTGATGGGGTATTTTACTTTTTTCTATGAATTATAAATTGTTCTTTTAAGATTTGTTTCTTAAATCTAAATGAATGTAAAAGTGCAAAATTTTCTTCACTATGGGTGAACATATCTTGTGACTAATATCTCCATTCTTCCACTAATCAGAAGAAGGAGAATAGCAGCAGCAGCAGTCAGCAGTACCGCGTAGGTGACTGGAGTGAACACGTGAGCAGCAGTGGCAAGCGATATTACTACAACTGCCGAACTGAAGTGTCTCAGTGGGAGAAGCCTGCCGACTGGCAAGACTGGGAGCAACAACAACAGCATGGCACTAGACATCCTCCAAGTGTAGCTACCAAGAACTCCTCCCAGCAGCATTATAATAACCAACACAATTCTTCATCTAAAGGCGCTCCATACAATTCATCTTCGTCTTTATTGACGGCTAGTAGTAGTAGTAATAGTAGTAAGGTTCCCTACAACAACCTTGCTAGCCACCCTAATTCCAAACCTAGTAGTAGTAGTAACTATAGTAGTCATAGTGCTAGCACCAACAACAGTGTCTCTTCTTCTTCATACAATGCTAACCTTTGTAAAGGTTCATCATCTTCTAGTGTAATTATGAATAATTCTTCTTCGTTAACTCCGACCAATATCCAACATTCATTATCTTTAGCACCTTCCACTTCTTCCTCTTCTCACCATCACCACAACCAGCACCATCACCCCCACCTACACCATCACGGGAACAACAATTCATCCTCTGGAGGCAACAACACTGGCAATAAGGACATCAACAGCCAGCAGAATCTCAGAGGCAATATTGGACATGACAAAAGTAAGCTCGGTGAGTTCATCATTCTCTTAGCTGCATATTTTAGGACATTCTTTCTATTTGCATACACTGAAGGATTTGTGCAACTCTTTTGGTAAATAATCCAATAAATGGTAAATAAATAATTCAATAATCAATAAGTGAAATTTTGTTTATAGAAAAGTATTCCGTGTTTTTCAAACAGTAACACTATACTGTTAGAAACCGGAAGTGTCATATTGAATGTATTTGAAATTACTGTTCTATGTTAGGGTAAATAGTTATATACTGTTTTCAAAAAAGGTTGTCAAATTAGATATGTAAAAGCTTGTAGGATCAATGATTTATTTGCTCTTGAAGGCATTAATGTGTTATTCGTCATGTTGCAGACAAACATTCCAATGTGGACAACAGCAGGGAGCATTTGTACCGAGGCCAGGACGAGCTGCACGACAAGCGACCGGACCCTCGTAAATATCAGGCCGCTGGTCAAGGTAGTAGTAGACCATTCCATCTTATTGATAAATGATAGCAATAAATGACTTTATGATGAGTGAGATATTTCACGTTGTCTTCAGAGGGTAATACATTTTAGTAAACAAGATTTGGGCTTATCAAAATTGTAAAAAGATTACAGTAATAAGTTGGTAGCCAACCTTTGGATTTTGACAACATTCCAGTTACATTCATGATGATTTGTAACTTGCAATAAGTTTTAAAAAAATTGACTTCATTGTCTCTCGTTCCATTTTTATTTAAATGTTATTTTTTTATTTCATAATTTTATACAAAGGAAAACGTTGAAAATTTGCTTGCAATACTAAAATAAATAAACCATTGAGACTTATAAATCGGACTTGAGCTTTAAAGCTAACCAGATTCTTGTGTTGCCCAGACATGGACATCTCATCTGGAGGCAGCACCCCCACCTCAGAGTCGGTGCTCGGGCGCAGCAAACTCTTACATCAAAACAGCGTCTTGAACACTAACGTGTCAACGCCTTCCCCTCTACTGCTGCCTGCCACTTGCCTTCCTTCTAACCATCACCCACATCACCACCCTCACCACCATCCCCAACACCACTCAACCACTTCTAGCAACCATCCAAGACTAGGACCTTATAGCAACGCTGGTGGAACCAACACCAGTACCACCAATAGCAATATTAACATCACCGACCTCAGGCACCACCAATTTGCAAATAGCAGCAACACTGTGAACGTCTCGTGCCACAACAGTATCAATAACAGCTCAGATACTACATACATCAACAACGTAGGTGGCAACAATAATAACAAGGGGCATGGTGACTTGCTCACCATCAATACCTCCACCAGTGGGCTGGGTGGGCAGGGGCCACCCACTCCCACACATTCCGAAACCCACGACAATTCTGATCCTCGGAAAGGTTAGTTCTCATATTCAGTTCCTTAAATGCATAGGTTTATTTTGATGATAAATCCTAGAAAGCTAATGAATGAATGTTAGGGAAATAATCTTGAAATGCTGTATAGTTACATCTTAAAAATATTAAACATGTCCCTGTCTTATACTGTTCTCATTTGTAGTTCGTATTTGCTTGCACGGATTTCGATTTAAAAATGACATATTTAGCACATCATATAATCTATATTCCAGAAAGAAATTTTGACATAGGTGTTTGCATGCATGTATTAATAATCTTTATCTGACCAGATGGGAGTGGGAGCAATGGGCTGGGCATCAGAGTACCCACTTCAGTGTTGGGAGGAAGCAGTGGGAGCAACACGGCCAGCGTCGGGGTCTCCCTCAGCTCCCTTAACCAGCCTGGCACTTCTGGCTCTCCGTGGACCAGCTCCCTCTCCTCATCATTAAGGTATCAATAATTCAACATTACGTGGCCAAAATTATTATTATGGTATGGAATATCGCTGCTATTGTTAACACGTATCTCGAAATGTTATTTATAGAGCCTACATTTCCAATTAATCCTATAGAACGTATCACCTCTAATATTTCTACACTCTCACAGTTGTTCAGGTTTTTATTCTTGTTAAATGACTGATATAAAAATGTATTTCTGTTTTCAGTTCTCAGCGCCCTTCTCACCCGCCTCCAGCCCTCACTCCTTCCCTCACCAACTACTACAACGAGAGCCTCATCTCCCACGTGCGCGACTGGCCAGCTGAAAATATCGAAAAACAGGTTAGAAAAATCGTTGTTGTTACTTTATTAGCCGTCATAAGCGTTTCCAAGCTTTAAAATAATGTTTTGTGCTAGGTTCCTGCTCCTCAAAAAAACCTAAGGAATGATATAGCTTTACATATTGTCTCGACCCTGAGCTTCTGTGCAACTGCGGAATTTTTTTATGCAGTTGAATTAGTAAAAGTTTTGGCTCAACACGTCAACACCTTTATTTACCACAGCAAGCATTTTAAAAATGTTTGAACTTAAAAGTTTTTAATTTGAAGAAAAATCCTAATTTAATTTGCTTTGGATGAAATACTTGTCTCACACAGTCCAGTTTGTCTATGATGCTTTTAAATTTGCAAAAAATGATTATTTTTTAAATATTAGGATGATGCCAGAATAACGACGGAAGATTATTTACACTGGCATACTCTATTTACCATGTATTGACCTAAACTATCACTATTTTTAATTCAGCCACGTTTTTTTTACAAAAACAAAAATGTGTTTTTGGTACGTGTTGAAAATCATGTGTTCTTTTTATTTTGTTTAACCACACTTCTAGAAAGATTATTGACATTTTGGTACGCAACCAGAAATTTGTGTGTTGAATCTGAAGAACTAGGTTATTTAATTCAAACATTTGTAGAATTGTGAGTTGTTCTTGAATCTGTTGAATTTCTCTTGGGCGCCGTTATGTGTAAATGAAACTAGTTGCATTTGGGTGTTATATATGCTTCGGAAATATCATCATGCATCATAATTTCTAGAAACGATTTTGATGGAAATGCGAGAGTCCCAGGGCTGCAAAAAACCCAAGGGTTTGTTAAAAAACCCGGGCAAAATGGTAAAATGGATATAGCTACTTTTTCCCTAATTTCATCTATACCGAGCTTCAAGGTTCTTTTCATCTATGTTGATTATTTAAAAGTTGATGCTGGAGAGAATCAAGCTCTATTATTACATTTGCCAGAACTTTTAATCTAATAAATTTCAGTTCGGTACAGTGGGTTAGTGATGCATTATTAACTTGATGTAATAAGGTACTTTTCAAAAAATAGTTACATTTCTCTGTCACAGACTACAAATCATTGAAAAATATGTATTGAATCAATTAACGCAGTTCTTTGTTGTTTTTTTTTTAAACTCATATAGTGCAGGCTTCAAAAATCCCAATTTTCAGTTTTACTCATAACTTTTGAAGAGTTGTACTTATCACTTTGAATTTGTATCAAACCTGGAGGCTTCTACTATTGTGCATGTTCAAAAGTTCACAGGAGTTCACAGGAATCGCAAATTTAGTGAATTTGCGATTCAAGCAAACAAGTGACATTATTACTTGTATTTATTTGTATTGAGGGTTGTATTGGGTATTTTAAGATACGAGTCTATTTAAGGAGCCAAAATATCAACTGGTTACATGACAATACAGACAAGAGTCTATTGACTTCACTCCCCTCAATTTACACACAAGACTTGTCAAAAGAAACACACATAACCAACGTAAAATGGATTATATAATTTCCAGTTTTTGTTCTTGATTCATAATACGTAATTTTGTTCACAGAGTCAAAGGTTGTCAGAAGAAGCACACACAATGGGCAGTTTGCTCATGACCAAAGTTTCAGCTGATCTCAAGATGGCTCGATCTCTCGTACGACTTGCTGAGATACAAGCAACTCTGCACGAACAGAGGTAATGTGATGTACCAGCCCAGCTGGTATTGCTGGTATCATAGTATCAATCACTCTGCCCTAACATTTCCCTCCACTGGCCGTTGTTAGTCACCTCGGCAAACGTCAACAGTTTTTGCAATAAATGTCATGTATAAGTTCAGGATCTCATCGCCTAAGATTCATAGTATCGATGTTACTTGATGTGTAGAAATAATTATGTATCTAGTAAATACTTTATATTTTGGAAGTACTCGAGATGCTGCTAGAATTGCCCGCTAGGTTGACTCAATCGACAATCTAATCCAGGTTCATTACCTACTAAAGTCTCCAATGTTCCCAATTTACTGAAGAATTAAGTTCTCAAGTGTTCTTGATTTGCAGGAGGATATTGTTCACATAAGTTCTGACGTGTTCTTATGTCGCGGGATACCTGTTGCTAAAAATTCTTACGTTTTATTATGTTGCAGGTTATTATTCTTGCGAGCACAGAAGCGAGAACTGGAGGACATGGGCTTGAAGAGTCAAAATAGCTTCCTTAGTGACGGTGCCGGGGGCAACAGCTAGTAACCCACACCATGTGCAGGACGGGGCTTTCCCCCTTCCTTCTAGGAACTTCAATCTGAAGAAGTTTTCTCCTCTTCCCGCCAGCCCTTCATCTCCTGGCAATTCCACTTCTGCAGGAGCTTATAAAATTCCGCCGTCATTTTGTAAGCGCATTCGTGGACTCCTCAGCCCAAGATATTTACTATCTGATGACTCTCGTCATGTTGCTCGCTATATCACAAGCCGTTTGAGTTATCGTGTAATTTTTTATCTCTATACCGCTTGAGATGTCGCATATTTGCAATTCTAAATGCCATTTTGGCCATTCAAACGGCTGGCCATCAAGATATTGATGGCCTGGTGATGAGTTTCTGTTCGTTTAGCCAAACGGAAGTTCCCTAAAACTGCAAGGTGTTTGGGTGCTCTTGTCAAGAGGTGGCCCAAAACTCACTGTTCTTATATAACTAAAGTTTATGTGAAAAAATAGTGTCAATGGTGTTCATTCAAGTGCCCGTGATCGTCGAAACCAGAAGAAGTGATGCAGGCTATAAATACTGGTGATGGTGTCAGCGCCTCTGAATGCCTTGCTTGTCAGAAATCGGTGGCTGAAGGTGTAGTGGTCCCTCATAACCGAAGTAACTACTGGACGCAAATGTTTGCATTAATTCAATGTACTAAAAATACTTTGACATAGATGCATTTGTATTCTGTTGCAACTGTGCTACTGCAATCGAATTTGCCAAGTTTTACTATTAAAATTGTTTATTTTCCGTGAAATTACTGACTAATTTAATCAAACTAATAAGTTTTTGAACGGAACATTTCTTGAGCTCAGCAGGCTTTCTTCGCATAGATGATATTTGCCTTGGAAGTACGAGTGGAATTAACGTAAATATAATTAACTCATCACGATTCGATTGATGGGTGATAAGTCAAACAAATTATCATGAAATATTTACTGGTGTGATTCGAAAGCAAATTGAAGCCTGTAATTCTATTATGATAATCTAATGTACATGTAGATTTGCTGCTTGCATTTCTGAAACTCAAATTTTCAGTTTCAGTATTCGTCTTTTCGGCACTAAATGTCTTGCAGACTTGCATGTTAAGAATCATCACTTCAATTCAAACCAAAAATGTTGCTTAACACCTCACTGCCAGGATTTTTTTGGTAATATGTCAATTTTTTTTCGGTTAGCCAGTTCTTCCTTTTCGCACGTTAAAACTGATATGTACTCTCGAGAACAAGATTTTTGAAAAATTATGTCCTCTTATGCTCTTAACGATTTCGTTCTCAAGACTGATACATCCACTTCCATATATAATTGAAATTTAGATTTTTTTTGACCATGAGAAATAACATTATTTTGTATATGAATTTGCTAACTCGGTAATCTTTATGAAGATTTATGTTAGAAAAATTTGGTTGTTTCTTCTTTTGAATGAAAACTGTAACAAGCAGTCGAATGTTGTCATCTTGCGTAAATTTAAAAGTAAACCTACCTATTTACAATAAAATTACTGCTAGAGACGAGTTTCAAGCTTCACTTCAATAATCAAGAGTCAGCAACCAACCGACCAGATGGTTTTCTCATTAGTAAATTGATTTCATTGTTTACTCTGACCATGTGAAATGACATCGGGGCTTGGCATATGTTGTTCTATATTTTGGCCACATGTTCACGTATTTTCCTCAGTTTCTCTACGGTATTATAGTGTAATTTCTAATAAATTTGGTGTCTGATTCTGGTATTGAATGTCCGCAATATCTTGATCAATTGACGTCTTTTCTTGATCTTGTCCTTCAATTATTAGTTCATTTTATTCTCTTAGTTTCTTGAATGCTATTTAAAGCAAATGAGAATTATAAAATTAAAGGAAAAAATTGAAAATGATTCGGCCTTTGAGATTTTATAATTTCTGCCGAGTGATTTTTAAATACATCATTTTCCGAAACGAGATCGCTATAAGGAAACTTGAAATGATAAAATTGATTAGGAAAATTATCTTAGGAGATTATTTTACAAGTTTGGGAACCCCTGTCCAACATGTACATCTTTTGCCAGGCTTCTGAGGTTCTTTATTTCGGTATTGAGGAACAAAGTTACTGTCGTTTCATAAATCGGTTGCTTGGGTCGTTTCACAAGGTGATGGACTTACGGCGACAAAATACCTAGTTTTCATTCGAATGATGTTGTCCCTCTTAACTTAATCTACATAAAATTGTTTACAAAATGCGTCATCGTTGTCCAATGATAGCCACATGAGCAGTTACTTGTGCCGTTCTACACTGACAGGAATAATCCTTCAAAAATTTGTCCCTTTTAAGAGATATGTTGAAGGGGCTGTAGTGTTCTTGAATTCTTGGTTAGTTATTGATTTATTTAATGTTTTACGCTGGCAATGTTTACGGTGTCTGGTTACCAATTTTAAGGCTAGGGTGTGAGGAAAACTTAACTCTTGCATTGAGATTTTGTGTTCAGTTAACAGGAAAGTTTGTATGATACGTTCTTATTTATCCATAACCTGCTTCAGGTTATGTATAGACATAACATGCTTCATTAATCTAGCCCTTTTCTCATTTAGAATGTTCATTTTGCAATTCTAGAACTCATGCGGCGACTCTTTGTACCAGATCATAATTTTAAATTGTTAGGGCTCGGAATTCGCTGATGATAATCATTCCTTTATCTGAGGGTTTTCACATGTACTAATTATGGTATACACTTTTATGGATTCGTGGTGAATTCTCTGCTTAGAAATAAAATGAAATTTGCTGGTGAGGGTGACGGCCAAGTTTAAGTTGTGCGTGATATCTCTAGTGTTGAAACTTTGGCTTGTTGTTGTCAAAGGTAAAATTCGTTGACTGTTGAGAGATATATAGATGAGGAGATGGCTGCATGTATGCTGTTTCGTTTTCCTCAAAGTGACCTACACTGTCTTGGTAAATTCTAATGCGTTGTGGCAAAGTTGCTTTTAAAAGACTTTTAACAATGAAACTCGTGATGGGTAAATGTGCTTATCGATGATTGGTGCAAATTGATAAGTGATTGCGGCAAATTGATAAGTCATCTGCTGCTGATGATGACTGATAAAACTGATGCTGTTGATGAGTTTTGTTGATATTTTTGTCAATACCTGTTTTGCTGCTGTTTTGACGATGTTTCTTATAACTATCAGTTACCTATGAGAGATAGCTGGTGATCCCTCGCTGTTACTAGCATTCTAGTTAACTATAGCTACTGCATTAGGTAGGTGCCTCTTATATGTACAGGCTGTAATTGTCTAATTAGGTTTCATTAATCTAGTTTAGTAGTCACTGGGAACTAAACAAACTCTTTGAGGAGAAAAAATAAAGACCACGTGGTGTGGGAAGAAATATAAATGACGTACAGAAACTTGTGTTCTCTGTCTTTTACTACCTGGTGACCGACAGACCTTTGTGTGTGTGCTAGAAGTGAATGTAAAGGAACTCATGTTGATTATTTCTATTGCAACTGAACGATCGTCCTTGGCGATTGTTGATTTTACGCGTCTACCAGCAAACCACCAAATTCGTAACTGCTTAATATTTTTTATCCAAAGCTCATGACGGGGCATTGCTGTATTGTGGAGTAGCATCTGCTATTGTCAAACAAAGCGAAGTTGAATGGATGACCAATTGTGACGGAATATATTGATTGGTGTTATACTAGCTCCACCTTAGAATTTCTAAGAGTGCTTTGGTCATAACAGTTTTAATATTTTGTGCGTTGCTTGCGATTTATTCTGGAAGTACATCAATTTCAGACATGGTTCTCGAAAGAAAATAAGTGCTCGTTTACTTGCGTCGTGAGAAACGTTGAAACAAATTGAGTCTTGAAGTGTTTCTGCCGATCTATTTGCCTTCATAGAAATGGAGCATATGATCACCCCTCACGTTATAATCTTGCCAAAAAGGTTTTTCCACTGTGTGGTGCTCTGTATTTCCAATATCGATGTGTTGACTTGGTTGAAAATCGACTTGTCCTGTAACCGTTAATTTGTCATCCAGCGCTTTTACCTGTAAATCTGCCCATTATTATGGGTATCTTGAGCTTTGATTAATTGTTTATTGGTAGTTACCCTGGCTGATTCATGTCACTGTGTATTTCGTCTAGAAGTTTTGATTATGTTCTGCCTATAATTATTCTCGTATCTGCCTCTTCTCTCACGTAAATTGCTGTAGCTCCTTCCATGTGGAACGCAAGTGGCCGTTGGGAGCAAGTCAAGGTTGTTGGTGCATTTTTTTTCTGGTCGACCGAGTGTTACACGTATTTGTATTGTTGTCTTTCATTCTCTAACCCTCTCTCTTCGAAAATCATTTTAATGTCCTCGCTCGTTTTGTAATGCAGTGTAGAAAAAATGTGTTCTTCTATTGAAGGTGGATGGAATTTATTTCATATTGTTTTCTGTTATTTAACGCTGTTTTACGGTGAATTAAGTAGCTTGTGTTTCTGGAAAACAATGTCACAGTCTCGGACCGTTTGCAACAAATCGGCTTTACCGACTATACTGGATTTCGGTTATGGCTGATTTCAAGAAATTGGTTATAGTGGATTTTTACTTACCACATCAACTTTATATTGACCGACTTCAAATACTTGATAATGGCCAGAATTGAAATGTCCTGCAAATTTATTATTTGGTGCTTTGATTTTTTTAATTACCAATGCATGTCAATGGTCGTAACACCAACCTATCATTCAGAATCATCCAACTTCAATGTTGCTGATGAATCCACTTCAAATTTTGTATTCTGCAAACTTGTATTCAATTTCAGTTGACACTTCTCATTATTACTGTGCGAGAGTGAGGCTTCAAATCTACCTTCTTTGGTTCATTGGTGCTCAGAATTTTTTAATTAATTACAAGGAAATGACAACTTTCATGAAACGGAAACATACAAACCATAAGCAGCTGCTCATCTTCCCTGATTGATTCTATTTGTTCTTTAATTATGTGCGTCGTAATTAGCTGAACAATAAACTAAACTTGATGACAGTCACTCAATATTTGCAACAAGATTCTTTTGAGTTTTTCGTGCTCATTTGTTTGACGAAATGTTATAAGCCGAGCGTCGTTCCACTGTAATCGTTTTAGTAATTAATAATTGTCAAGTCTTGCCTTCCTCTGTATATCTTTTATATGGGAAAATAACGAGAAGACGAAGAACTCTTCTGAACTGTTCAGTTCGTGTTTCAGAATAAGAATTATTTTCGCGTGTTGTCCAGTTGCCTTAACTGCGTGAGCGCGTTTGAGATCGACATTTCATTCAATACTTACGATTACCGTGTTTTAGGAAATGAAATAAGTGTTATTTAAGGTTTTCACTTCGTTGATCGTTCGCCTCAAAAATAATTTAATTAATCAAAGAACGTTCGCCTCAAATATTTTAATTAATCAATGGGTGTCAGTCTACGTACGATACTCTGAGTCCCGGATTTGTGATTATCTTGAGCTTGCGTGGCAGTAATTTGCTAAAATGTTTTTCTATTGTTACTTGTGCTGCGCTGCCATACGATGCTTCTTATAAATTCTCATTCTTGGTTGCACTTGAATTTTCTTTTGTCAGTCCATTTAATCCTAAATGTTAAAAATCATGATGGATTTATGTTTTTTATCGAGCAAGATTTGAAGAGTTTGCTTTAGAGTTTGAGAAACTGCCGCATGCTTGTCGCTATGTGTTTTGGTTTGTTGTAGTTCTCGTGAAGTGCTGCGGTGTGTTTCGAATTTCCCTGTTCGTATGATATAGTGAATCGCTCGTCTCTTCTTTCTCATTTTTTCTTTCAAATAAATATCTTTGCATAGAACACTGCGAAAATCGCTGGTAAATACGGTGGTACATGATTTATATTGGTGTAGCTCTTATGTTTTGCCAAAATGAGCTTCGAAATTTAAGCTAAGTACTGTTAAAATGACGTAATTTTGTCGTTCACTGGTAGGTAGACATTTGACTTGATGGAAGCTTTGTTTGGTTTAGCTTTCCATGATTTAATGGTTGCCTCATCCGGGGCCTACAGTGACATTTACTGTGGTTCGTTATTACCGACAATGCTCTGGGCAAGTGATCCTGTTTTGAATTTCAGTTCATGTTTAATTTTGCACGTGAATTTCTCCGTCGTTACAGGACGTTTTGTTGCTCTAAGGTGTAGTGATTCTTTCACATTATTCCCTCCTCATAATATATCAATTTAAAGAAACTGTAGCTGGAAATTTTATTTCAGTTTGAGCATCAAAAATTATTTTATTTATCAACGGATAAAATGTTCCTTTGCTTAGTTCCTTCATGCATTCAGTTCGCAAAATAAGATTAGTTTTATTTTGTTATTAATTTTTTTATCTTCTACTTTCTAAATTTATTATGGATGTATGAATGCGTCTGTATGTATGGACAGACCAAAGCATTTTGTAGGTAAAATGGAAAGGTATTTCTTCAGGGAGAGAAGGCTATGAATTACGAGGTAATTTCGATGTGATGTAAAAAGTTTACACCCGACCAACTGTTGCCTGCAGCGTACAGGTCTTGGGTGTGGTTCTTTGTACATAGCTTTTGCTGTCTATTGTATGTAGGTATTTTACAAATGCCCCGGTCATAAAACTTTGGTTTACATTGATTCATTTCTATAATTATAGTAATTATTATTGTTTGGTGCGTTGTCGTTATCCTGACCTAAAATAATGCGAATCATCACAACGAAATCATCAGCGGCTGAGTCGTGTTGGCGACTTACATTACATCGATTACATTGCATCAATTCTTCAGCCACTCGGATGTCAAATATCTCAGAATTACACAAAATATAAATTTTTGGATCAATTTGAACGAAATCGACATAATTAAAATTTATATTTATTAAAATTTAATACTTTACTAAAATTTCATAAGTTTTTAATGACTAAACTGAAATCTCACTGCACAGAGTAACGCAATGTAACTTAACTTCACAACGAATTTTGCTGTTATTTTATGTTTTAAAAGAATATTCATGTAGACTGCATTGCAAGTATTTAGTACGTAACAGAACTGATATGAAGGAGTACAAAGCTGGATGGTTAGTTGACTTGATTATTAGCTTCTGGGGATGGCGTCCAACGTATTAACGATTGTTGAAGAAGAGAAAGTAATTGAATGACTAGCAAGCAGTTGTGTGTGATGGAGAGGGTGGTCTTGCTGCAAGATCTCACTCGATGTCGAACATAGAAAGCCCGTTCCGGGGTTGAAGTAAGATCACACTGCTTGTATGAGATCATGCTATGCTTCTGGTGCAAGATTACGCATTATGTTGCAGGGTCACAGTGCTGTGATTATCAGGGTTCATTCTTGAATCTAGATCATGCTATGCTTCTGGTGCAAGACAATGGAGTATGTTGCAGGGTCACTGTACCGTGATTATCAGGGTTCATTCTTGAATCTATCACGAGCAATACGCAGTATGTTGTAGGGTCACAGTGCAGCGATTATCAGGGTTCATTCTTGAATCTAGATCATGCCATGCTTCTGGTGCAAGATTACGCAGTATGTTGCAGGGTCACAGTGCTGCGATTACCAGGATACGTTCGTTCTTGAGTCTATCATGAGCAGAGGAGAGCGCCGTTGGCAGAGCTTGAGAAGAAGTCTACGATGGCGAAGATACTCGTGACCGAACCCACGATCGAACCGAGCATGCCGAAACATACGATGAAGACCGCCTGCTCGATTAACCAGAACAATTTCGATAATTTTGTCAGAAAGTAGGCGGAAAGATTTAATAAGCGGGAGAGATAATTTAACTATGGTACGTAGAAAGTAAAATACGCCCAGGATGCGTTAGGGTATTCTTTCTTTGTGGGAAGAAGTTCAACGTTATTTGCATCAATGGCCTCGTATCAATTGAAATAACTGATCAATGATCTGAACGATCATTTGCGTAAATTATGATCTTGAAAATTTGTCATGATAAAAAATGAAATTTATTCCAAGGCCCCTCGGGGTTAAATACTACCGTGTACAGTGCACCCAAGTGTCGTCGAGGGAAGCATTACCTTCGGCGTTTATAAATATGTACAAAACTCAAATTGGTTAGGCACATGACTGCCTATATTCATAATATATCTGACTACAATAGATAAGTTCTGATAAGTTAGCAAAGCTAGGTACAAGTTCACACTTCCTTAGCCACTTTAACGTACGAATTAGGTGCCGCCATTTTTTTTTGCGCTTCAATAACAAGACTTGGCGCGTCGCCATTGATAGATTAAATTTGAAAGACATGCCAAAAATGATAACCTTAACTAAACGTCAGACAAATAAATCATCTCATTGACGTTACTTGCTGGGTGGATTAATTTTTCTTCAATCACTTAGTTGAAGCACATTAACGAACACAGCTGAACAAGTAACCTTACTAAACTTAGCGTTCGACACGTTGGTGTGAGCATAACTCGATATTCCTTTATTCGGTCCAAAACACGAGTGACCCTGATTTTACTGTCAACTATGGGAGCGCAGCCGTGCACCACCAATTTTGTGCACCAATAAGCCCTGAATCGAACACTTTGGATCTCTCCGGAAATCCACCAATCAGCCGTGAACGGGTCGCCTGCCGAAGACCACCACTGCCCTGGATATAATGGACCATCATGATTCCTGCCTTCTGGAACGTAGCCTTCAACACTTCAAGCCGTCCGTATCTAGGACGTGGGTCGAACCAGCCCTCGGTCGAACGGCCACTTGTCGAAGGACGATAAAATTTGGAACAGAACTATGCTATCTGAAACCTAACCTCAGATGCTGTGAACGTAAAATTACGTAATTTAACGATGCCTGGAAGTCATATTCGATTCGCGGCCTGGTGGTGCACGGCAGGTGGTGGTCAAGGCCGGAAGAGGACAAAGTCGAGTGGTGCACGGTTGATTGGTGTAGGTCCGGAGAGATCCAAGGCGTTCGATTCAGGGCTTATTGGTGCACAAAATTGGTGGTGCACGGCTGCGATAAATAATAATAATAATATAATATATCTATATAATAATTGAATAATATTGATAAATGTTTTACTTGCCTTGACTATAAGTAAAGTGTCAGGCCCACGTTCAGGCCAGACCGCGACTAGGTGCACAACAGGCGGTAATATAAGACACATCATCGCCCCACTGATGGACCCAACCAGCGAGATGAACAGACCGACGTTGGGTATCGCCAGCGCCGTGCAAACTGTACACAACCACCTCTTCAGTACACGGAGTAATGCAGGCTATACTTGTTATGTTACAACGCCCCAAGTGATGAGTATATGACCAACGATAGCGGCACATATCGGTTAAGGACAAATTTTGTATTCATCCTGAATTATCTGTTCTCTGCTAAAATAATTTTTTTAATTATAATAATTAAACTATTGCAATTTTGAAGAAGGTGAAGTATCGATGGAAAGTGACTTAGGAGCCTAGGATATGACATTATGCTGCACACTTTTGAATTTTGTTCGTGTTGTAAACAGCTTGAGCATAATATGAACCTATACTTTATTAATAATAATGCATGCAAAACTTCGTTATTCACTATGATGCTACCATTGTGAAATTGTCAGCATAATAGTGACAAATGTCCATAAAAATGGCCAAATTATGATCCAAATGTGTGATTTACATGAAATTTATTCTTACATTGAAAATTCAACTTGAAAAATTCTACTCACGAGTGAACGTAACACAAGCGGCTCGCACGCCATAATTTTTGTACAGAATTGTTCTCTTGGAGTCTGTCTCTCTGGTCCAGAGTTTTGTGAAGAGTTGTGCCACGACGTAGAGTTGGATGGGGTACGATAGGAACACCGCAACGCTCACGAGTCCTTTGGTGACTTGCGACAACCTGACCGAGCATTTTATTTGATAATGTGCATTAAAGTAAAAAATTATTATAAGATGGCAGAAATTTCTTGATTATATGCGTACAATTTATGACCAGAGAGTGCATGCACTCTCTGGTCATGCACTCAATGCACTCTCTGGTCATTAATTGTACGCATATAAAGTAAAAAAATATATATAACTCTGTACTCACTGCAGTGAGTGACAGAGAGCGCATTTTCTCGTAGACGAAAACGCGAAGTCACGGACGGACAGACGGATGGACATGGCGAGCACATTAGAACATTTTTTCCATAAATGAGAAAATGCGCTAACAATGGAAATAACTTTGGCCTAGTTTATTATGCTGTTAATCGTTAATTTTAAACAGTGTTGAGGAAACCATGTATGGTTTTTTATTAGAAAACGTTTAATGTTGGAAAATGAATTAGTCATTTCGTTAGAGAAATTGTTTGAGACTCAGCAGGTTTGATGACAAATGGTGCAATACTTGTATTGCACATTCATTTTCATATGAAATAGTTCATTGAATAGTTCGTTCAAACATATGAAGTAACATATTACATTTCTTTCCTTACATTGGGTTTTCTTTGAAGTGAACGTCAATGTGAAATAATCGATAATCGAAAAAATTTGACTTGCGTGCGATGGATGGTAAAAGAATATAACAATTTAAGAATCGTTGACGAGACAAAGTGAATAAGTTTCTATATATAATATGAATATTGTGAGAAAAAACAAGAATCATATTGAGCTGTATTTCCCCGATGAAGATGACCTGTAATTGGTGATTTGACCAGGCAGGTCTGTGTAGTGTGTAACCATACCAGCACAGGTTATTTGAAGCGCATGGATACCTTACCACGCCTTAACTTACTCTGCTATACCGGATTAACTTGTTACCACAATTTTACCTGCCTTGTTAACTTATTACCTTCCGACACAAGCAACATATAAAACATTCCAAAGAACTCTAGGTTACCCTGCCAATAATGAAACCCTTTGATTAACCCTTTGGCTGGGGTTTAGACTCACACTTCGTCGCTAGGCAGGTTCAACGTGATAGCTCCCTGTACATCTTCCCTGTAACGAACGTATCCGAAGAAGCCGATGCCCGTGTACAAGCACACAACTATCACCATGCACGTGTTTAACACCCCTATGATGCCGCTGAAGTTAGAGGGGTCTGCCATCCGGTTTTCTATTGGTAACATCTGCAACAAAATTAGTTGAAAGCAAATTGATTTCAAGTTGTGATCAGCTTTATTGTGAATAATTATGCTCTCAATCAATCAACAAGTGTAGACCAGAAATTTTAACGATTCTATCAACTGTTAACGACATCCAGCAAAGCTTTGTGTGCGTCTTAATGACAAAAAATGAGATAAGAAAACACGCAACTGCAGTGCGGTGAGCAGAACTCTTCTTCGTAGAATTCTCAGCTATAAATAAAAATAATTTCAAATGATGCCTGATATCTATATATACATACTGTTTAATTTCATTGAAGACCAGTGAATCTGCTTAAAGGAACAAATTTTGCCAACATAAACTAATACTACTTAATACATATATAATTTTTACATTCATAAAAATCCCATTGAAACTATTAGCAGGAATAAAAGTTCCCGGGTGATTGAAAAACAGACAAGCAAAGTTACAACCTTTAGATTTCGGTTGAATGTTCGGGTAAACACGTCGGACTTTAAGGTTTTCAGCCATTTCCCCGACAACACATTAAATTTTTCCATGCCTTCATCTAAATGTACGACGAATATATATTAGTAACATCTTTTGAAATCCCAAAAATTGTCTTCCCGTATTTCTTACGCATCCAATTCCCTCAACAGCGAAGACGATCGTGCCGAAGTAGAGAGGGAAAGTTTTCCACCCTCCAAATGCGGGCAGATCGCCCACGGGGTACTGCTGTAAATCTCTGCACGGAGCAAACGTATGAATTTACTAACAGAATACTGATAAATCTTTTATAATCTTATTTTAATTTCTTAAATTCATTCTCCTATTATCTTAATCATGATCTTGTGCCTTACATATAATTTTTTTATATTATATTTCGAACGAGATCGAATGTTGTATCATATTTAACAGAAATCTGAGAAATAGATGTGACTGCCAACATATCAAAAAATTCCATGTTGAAAAACTCATTGAAAAGAAACAAGATATCCAAAACGACCTTGCACCCTGTTTACTTCATGTCTCAAGTAAATATTTGAATATAGTTCTCTGCTTAAACGTATGGTAATACATTCTGTATTTTAAAATAGTGGTTGTGGTGCAACATGTTAGTTATTGTAAATCAACTTCTTCTGTTTTCTATCAAGAAGTGGCTATGTTACTATTATAAAATCACTTTGATAAATCAAGCTTTGTAATCAGAACCTGCTACCCTTTCAATTTTGAACCATCCATCAGACAGACATCATCCCTCACTGCATTTCAGCTGAAAAAGAACAGCTGATATCGCAAACCTGGTGCAATAGTAGAGTATGATGGCTATCGCTGCTACGAAGAGCGCGCAAGATGTGATAGACATGTAACCTATGACCTGAAATAACGCAAAATGGGAAAAATGTAAGCACTTAACAATTTGTTAATAATATTTTCATAAGTTAACTAGTTTGTAAGAAAAAAGTAAAGAATAATTATTTCAGTTACACTTTTCAAGCAGAAAATTTCCGTCCGAATAATCCAATATTTGTGCATTATTTGCTCATGAATTAATGGACCTTTTATAGTTGCAATCATACTTCGTGCCTGACAATTCATTATTATTTTAGAATAACTATACCTTTGATGTACCCTTTTATTCCTGCTTTCAATTACTAAATTTTGACTACCGTCTGCACCATGACGGATCACTTAGCAGCCTCACATACACAAGTATTTCAAACATATTCAGTTATGTCATACAGTTTATTTAAATAATTTTGTTTTCAGAAATTTATTTCTGAAAACATTTATTTGCTCACCTTCAACTCAGTAGCACTGCACACCAACAGGAAGGGGATGAATAAGATGAGCTTGTAGTCCACCAAAGTCAAGCCTAAGCTCATCGAAGGGTTGCATTCTATTAACTGAAAAAAATATGTGCTTCTTATACTTTACCTTTCAATGATTTTAATGAGAAAATACCAGATAAAAGCCTGAATTTCTGAAACATACCGGCCAGAAAAAGTTTTACAATAAACTGTATAGTCATTATACCTTTTAAAATGTGAATTCTCGCGCAATGAAAGAATGGAGGAGGGAGCTGCATTCGTGTTTTTCATTTAGGCTAACAAGAAATTAATTAGATAATTTGATGCTCATTATAATTTTTTATGCAATCAATTTGCAGGGCGGATGTAAGAATCTGTTTGAGCCATGTGTGTACGAAAAATATTCATATAAGAAACAGTAAGTACGTTGTTTTACGAAAAATAATCATATAAGAATCATTAAGTATGTGCTTTAAAGTTATCCTCACTTTTAGCCAAAAGTAAGTAAATTTTGACATCATTTCCAATCTAGCCAAGGTTAAGCATGCACTGAAAATTACTTCAATTATAAAGGTTTTCCAGCTCGTAAACTTTCAAAAGTGTCTTCACACATCGTAGCTTGAACCTACTTGGTACAGGTTCTCGCACACAAACTCGTAGTAGACGCAAACGAAGCCAATTTGCGTTGTGCAGATGAAGGCTTTGGTGGCAATGGTCATGAATTTTGTGATGGGACGAAGCTTTTCAGGACCCGTAATGAAGGCAGCGTTCATTGTCTCTTCATAGCTCAGCGACTCCGCGTTGATACGGGCACACAACAACCGACTGCTCTCCAGCTGCAAAAGGCAGTAAAAGGCAAATTGTTTGATGGTAGTATGCATAAATGAAGATATGATATGAGTTTGTGTGACGGCTGTATGCATAGGTGAAGGAATGATATGCAGTTTGTGTGACAGCAGTATCCGTATAGTTTTGGCTAAATGCAGTATGTGTGACGGTAGCATGCATATAGTTTAAGCGAAATGCAGTATGTGTGACGGTACCATGCATAGATAGCGGGACGGTATAGCAACCTCTCAGGGGGGACTTCTGACGTCAGTCTGTGCTCGTCAATGCTTTTCGTAAGGTCATTCATTGTTCCTGAGCGCCCATCCGCAGAGCTCGTGTTGACTGACCGAGCTCTCAGTTGTGGTGTTAAGTTGTCATGTATGTAGGATTCCTTGCATTCAGTCTATTTAGTGCGGGCGGCCAACGTCGCCCGCCGGAAACGTTCGTTTTTGAGTCTCCGAGTCATCTTCGTCACCACCCGGAGTATTCGTTTCTGTTGCTTTTCACCTGACCCTCCTTGTTACTTCGTCTCTTTGAGATGCTAACACTGCTTCTTTTATTGCTAGCTTGAGCAGGCTGGACACTTAGGCTTTCGGCTCTTTGTGAGCGATGATTAATTTGAGGAAATTGCACTTTGTGAAACTATCCGCCGTTCTGGCGGTGTTAATTTTTGATCTCCGACGCGAAATAGCTTGATAACTAAAGCGCTAGCATAAGTATAGTACTACTGCTACCTAAAGTAGAATGAATAGATCATGGAACGAGATGCAGGTTATGTGACGATGATATTCATGAGTGGTGCAATGAAAGATTGTATATGTGATGATCGCATATATTCCGAAGTTAAAATACATTTTTTCAGAATTGTTTCGCGAATCATGTAAGAAATTTTGCATCATAGTTTTATTTTGAGAAATAGTTTTTCAACTTTGAAATAATGTCTCCAAGTGAAAATATTACGAGAAACTAAACTTGGACTCAGTTTCTAATTTCAACTAAATAATTGTAATTATTTAAATTAAGATGAAGACTAACCAGCAGATGCATGCAGTGTGTTGCTATGATGCCAATGAGCGGTGTCATCACAAGCGCTACCCAGACACCGGCGTAGAAGAAAGCTTGCGGTAGAGCCAGCATGCCCGTGCCTATGTTGGCCTTCAGCAAGTTGAAAAATGCGCTGAATTCCCTGAGATAAAAAAAGATACAAATTTGAGTAACTACGCACATTGGCCATCCAGTGATTGTAACTACTACGCTATATTTTCATACTTCGTCTAATGTATTTTATGTATTTCAGTTTCACATTTAAAGTCATCCATATTCAGTGTTATTATAGTGAATAAATTAGAATTTAAATGAGTACATACATGCCAAAAAATGTGAGGATTTTTATGGTGGAAGCACACAAATGACATTTCATGGTACGAATGGTATAAACTGATTTCGATACAATTGCATTTAATTAACGATAACGATGAATAGAAATATTCATCGAGTTCAACTACTCTTTTTTTCAGCCACACTCAAAACTCAACATCTGGTGGAATACAGACGCAGCTCGACCATTACTCAGCGCTTTAACATTCACGAGTGTTATGAAGATGAGTCTGCGTGAGTGGGTAAGAGTTCAGTAAGCATTGGTCCCAAGGTGAGTAACTGTTAACTTTTAACACTGTTAACTGTTAACACTGTTAACTGTTAACGCTGTTAACTTTTAACACTGTTAACTGCTAACTGTTAACACTGTTAACTGTTAACACTGTTAACTGTTAACTGTTAACACTGTTAACTGTTAACACTGTTAACTGTTAACACTGTTAACTGTTAACACTGTTAACTGTTAACACTGTTAACTGTTAACATTGTTAACTGTTAACTGTCAACTGTTAACTGTCAACTGTTAACTGTCAACTGTTAACTGTCAACTGTTAACTGTTAGAGTATAAGTGGGTAAACGTAGACTTACGAGGTGGCGTTCTTATCATGGCGCGAGTTCAGAAGCCCGGGGCCGCGTGTAACGGCTTTCAAGATACTCCTTTCTGCATGAAAATAACATTAAAATGAAGGCGTGAACTCAATTCAATAACTTTTTGTAACTAAATTTTTTCGTACTTCATAATTCACTTCAATTTTTTCAGTGAAAAATTGTATCGGCGACAAAAGAATCGGCGACAGGCCACATCAGGCCTACATTTTCAGCGCCGACATCATTATGTTATGTTATGTTATGTTATTTTATTTTAGGTTCAGAACTTTGCTCTTGGTCAATAATCAAATTTGACAAAATTATCATTTTGTTGGTGTTTAAGATTTTCATACATTTTTAGAAATGATAAGCTTGATTTAAATTATACTTTCCATTTGACATAATTTCAATCTCGCTGGATCTGCAATCATTGTAACGACATTTCTTCGTGTTAAATGAGCAATCATCGAAACAAGCACACGAATGTACTTACTATGATAGTCTGCTAAATAGCGTAGTGTAAATGTATTTAATTATCCACACAGTTTACCGCGGTATAAAGGTGTTTAACATGATTATCAACACAGTTTACCGTAGTATGGATGTGTTTAACATGATTATCAACACAGTTTACCGTAGTATGAATGCATTTAAAATGATTATTAACAAAGTGTGCCGTAGTATGAATGCGTATAATACGATCATCAATGCATTTTATCGTAGTATGAATTATTTAATATGATCATCAATGCATTTTATCTTAGTATGAATTATTTGATATTATTATCAACAAATTTTATCGTAGTATGAATTTTTTAATATACTTATCAACACAGTTTACCATAGTATGAATGCATTTAATATGATCATCAATGCATTTTATCGTAGTATGAAACAATGAAAAAAAAAATAAAAAAAAAAAAATAAATAAAAAAAAAAAACAAAAAAAAATTATTTAATATGATTATCAACACAGTTTACCGCTGTCGTTGCTGATGCTGCTAACGCTGCTGTTGTCATCCTTGCTACCGCTAACCCCGCGCTCGTCAGCATAGGAACCTTGCTGTGCATCCGACGTCTCGTCGCTCACAAACACTGCGTTCTCCAGGCCTGGGCTCGATTTTTTATGCTCCATCGCAGGGACCGAGGAATGTTGCAGCAATTTTTCAAATGTTTTCGTCGAGGTTCCCTTACCTCTAGATCAATAGTTCTGCAAAAGGTGAAATTTACATGAATTTATATAGGTTCAAAAATAAAACAAAAAATAAATCTATTCTACTGTTTTTTTCATCAAATTATTCTTACTGTATATTACTTGTGCTGAAATTATTTACAACCAATCTACTAAATGTACTCACCATGTTGCGAGTTGCAGCCGAGTTTGATTATGGGTGCGTTTGTTCTTTGATTAATTTTCTTAGAATATTTAATTTGCACGGATCACTGTACGCTAAAATTATTCTTACTGTATATTACTTGTGCTGAAATTATTTACAACCAATCTACTAAATGTACTCACCATGTTGCGAGTTGCAGCCGAGTTTGATTATAGGTGCGTTTATACGTTGGTTAATTTTCTTAGAATATTTAATTTGCACGGGTCACTGTACGCTAAAAAATTTACCTTTAATGTAGCTGCATTTTCTTCAATCACGAGGGAATATTTGTAGTGTAACTGGCATCACTGGGTAAGGTACACTTGTTTTATATACAAGGTGAACATGGCCTGAAGCTTAATCAATTCTTAATCAAGGGATCTATTCGTAAACTTAATAATCCCTTAGTGTTAATAACTTAAAGCACTACGGATAAAATGTTAACTGCACAGAAGTTTTGTATAGTGTATTGTCATGAAGCTTCTTATCAAATTATCACTTACGACTGTCACTCAAGAGCTACTACACAGCACGGAAGTATTTTTGCCGTGGCTTGGTGCTGATCAAATAAAGAAAAATTGCCATGCATTACAATGAATTACAATGCATTACAGTGCACCACAGTGCATTACAGTGCCATGCATTACAATGCATTACAGTGCACCACAGTGCATTACAATGCATCACAGTGCATTACAGTGCATCATGATGCATTACAATGAATTACAATGCATCATAGTGCATTAAAATGCATTACAGTGCATTACAATGCATCACAGTGCATCACAGTGCATTACAATGCATCATGATGCATTCCAATGCATTTTACCTTAATGATGAACCGTGAGTGCTCTAGGAAAGGGACGGACGGTAACGAATATAAAAATGTTGGAACGATATTTAATAATAATAATAATAATGATAATAATTATAATAATGATATTAATATTAACAATAACAATGAAATAATATCAATTATAATAATAATATCCAAAAGACGGGCAAAAATACCTCAGTCGTCTGTTGGAACCTCAAAAATACAAAATATGTTACCCACCGACAATGATACATTATTAAATAATAACTTCTATTGAAAACGCAAACGAGTGCGGGGTGCAAGGAAACACAAGGCTCCGAAATTCAAGTAATTTTCTGTAATAGAAGAACGTGAATTACGAGTATCGTTTCCAGAGTGTTGCACTAGGACTTAGAATTAATTTGCAAGATTTATTGATGTGCGCAACAGCTGAGCCAACTAAAATGATTCATCGTAGTGGTGCAGCCGCCAGTGCATATTAATGAAGCAACCTATCATATAGTTTTTCTCAACCATCACTGGTAGGAGGAAAAGAAACTTAGAAATATTTTTCGCTTTAGAGCTGAGATCGAACTGATCTCAGCTCTAAACTGAACCAATATCATTATTACAAATGATATTGGTCAACCGTTACAGTTGAAAAACTACATTAAAATTTTATAAGGAAAAGGTTATTGTTAACGGTTTGGAACGAGTTCCATCGGTGCTTAGTTGCAAGATCATTGTGACTAGAACAAGTTCATACTTGTTCTTAACAGATTAAACAGATAAAAGAAAGGTAGCAGCAGGATTCAACAATAAGGTATAATTTAAAGAGGGTGAGAACCGTAGGCGTCAAAAAATAAAGGAATTGAAATAAATAGAAGATACGTTGGTTTTCAAACTGTTAACGAAGATTGTAGAAGGCTTATAATGCTCATGCTCTGGTAATTTTGTATTATTTATTTCTTTACAAATTTTGTCGTTATTCTTGAATTTTTGATTTGCTTAGCTTCCTCAATTAAAATAGTTGGTAGATCTTTTACCATTTACTTTTCATCTAAATTTTTATTTTCAATTTGTCATTAGAAGTTTCAGACGATAATTGCAGCGAAAATATATCTGTACGCATAAATTAGAAAGAAAGCATAAACTTAAAATTGAATTGTAATTCAGTTTTTGTAATGCTTAGCTAAAATGTGACAGAAAAGTAAAAGTGTCAACCAAATAACTGCGTCTCGTTGGGAGAAGATTGGTCATATTTAATCATCAGGAGATTAGCTGGTGATAAGATAACCGCCTGATTCAATGTAATTTCAGAGGTTGTACAACATAGAAAACAGCCTACAGTAACTATGCATCCAACTGTACTGTGTAAAATTGTTGTTTAAAGCAGAAACTGTGGACTTTAACCTAGTGCAAGGAATTTAATTAAGAAATTATATCCTTTATCGCAAGTATCATGACAATCTTCAGCGAGGTCGACTAAGATTTATTTAATCTTTAGGTTCTTGAACGGATTTAATCGGTGACATTGAGATAACAGTGATGTGTAGTTATTAGTTGATGTTTATAGTTAGTATAGTTAATAGTATAGTTATTAGTTGATTAATTTGATGTTATATTTTATCTGAAAAATTGATTCTGTCGCAGTGTATTTAAAATGGCTATCTAGAATTTGATTTATCGCCAGCAAAATCTCGAGTCAAACTCAACAGAAAATTTGAAAAAGCGTTGAAATTTTTTCGAAGGCAGTTAATTTCAGTTTAATTTTTTATCGTTCCAAAACGCATCATTTAAAACATAATAAATATATGATCATTTCATGAATATGATCGTTACTCATGCATGTCACCGTATGACCGTTCGTTAGAACCTATTGAACCAGAGAGCTGACCTCGACGATAGCGACATGTGTTGCGCGAGATAGAGTTTCCACACCATATAAGGAGGACAATGCAACGATAATTAATTTGTTGTTATGTCATGTATGCATCTGGTGCGTTTGTTATCTGATATGCATTATTTTGACCTAAAAATCCGATAGCAAAAATTTCTTTTGCGAAAAACATGAGACTGTATCGGCAGGAAAAATATAGAAATAAGCAAAATATTTGTTGCAAAATTTCACATTAATCCACAATATTATCGACATTTATGCAGTTGAACTAGTACGAAAAAAATTCAGTTTGGTTTTTAATTCTGATGAAATCCACGATCTAATAGTTGCGATATAATAATATATATCCAATATTCGAAAATAATGGAGTTAGCTAGGAATGAAACCGATAAAGTTAGACTAAATAATTCGGTCCAACAGCAGCAGAAACGGAGAGCAAAATAAAAAAAAAAACTGTAAAGTAAACACACTGTATCAAATTTACTTATTAATGAGTTTTATGTTTGATTCACTGTATGGCTATCAATAACTTCGAAATTCATATATTGAACTGACGAAAGCTTAAATCGTTAGGAAATCATGCCATCCCTAAGCAATTAAATGTTCTTTTTATTCAAGTAAGCTAGGAATAATGAAGAATATTTTTAGATAAAGGAATAAAGGAAATTTTCATGACAAAAGAGTGACAATTTTTCGGTTTTGATATATTTTATTAAATAGTATATATTCGGAGGAACGACTGATATGTCAAGCATTGATATATAGTACACTGGCAACCCAGCAAGATACCATAAATAAATACTCCGACGAGGATTTGAGTGAATTATAGAATTATTTTTTTAAATTTCTGAAGCGTATTCGACCATTAAGAAAGCTCAATAAGATCCCATTTCACATGAACATTCGTGAGCAGTAGTCATTTTTTCTGACGACATCAGACGAACAACGTTCATTTACGCACTCCAAATGTGTCATGAAATTCCAATTAGCTATTGGAGTTATATTAAACATTAATGTATATCATTGAATGTCTAAAATCAAATAAAGTTCGGAATACGTATTGCTTGCGATTATTTTTTTCGCTATTTATCATAATTCTTATCATATTTTTTCCATTATAATTTTTTTTTCGAAACGTATGTAGGACACCTGCAATTTTTTTTAATAATCCGCGACCGTATTCAGTATTCTTTATCCACTTATAGAACTTAAATCAAAACTATTGCATACCTGCGTTTACCTTGCACAACAATAAGTCTTCAAATTGGTGATCAACTGTATAAACATGCAGAGATAAATTTTCCCTCTATACAACTCTGTTATGTTTTGACCGAGAACTAATATCACATTATGTTTTGCTCAAAGTGTAAACTAAAATATATATGACGCTGCATTTGACGTTTCTCTCACGTCAGACACTACACCGCATTGCGCACTGCACCAGCATACACTGACGCCTGCNCTCTTAACTGCTTTTTTGATTTTTTAGTTTAGAATTATTTATTTTCTTATCTAATTTTAAGATTAATTTTCAAAATTAAATTTGTTTCTTGAAGTAGTTTTGATTTCAAAATTTAAGACTACTATTTATATTAATCAACCCATTTTCCCTCTCACGTTTCTACCATAGAGAACAGTTCACCTACATGAAGCTGTTAACATTTTTTCCCGTATTGCACTGTTAGAAAAAACGGTCCCACTGGCGTTCTAGTGGCCGGTAGCCCCGTGAAAATAAACTGTTTCGCCGTTTTTATCAGATGTTTTACGGATTTCTGGTTTTAAATTAGAATAAAAACGGCGACACGGTTGTTTCTTTTCACGTGCCGACCGGCCACCGAAACGCCGGTAATACCGTTAACGGTAATTTTTCTAACAGTGTGCCTAATCATTTCATCAATAAAATCTTTAATGAAGATGGCAGTCGAAGTGGAACCTGTCACAGTGAACCAGGGCGTGGTGGTGATGGTCGCCGTGATCAATGATAGTGTCGTGGTAGTGTCCTAAACCACGCCGAAATCCACCATAATAACCACCGTGGTAGTGAGGATAGTGATGGTAGTGGCCGATTCCGATCCCGAACCAACCCCTTGATAGATATTAACGAAGGTTATTGTAATTATTAATGTTATTATAAACGATACTGATGTACTCAAATATGTGCAGGTGTTGAGCGCTTCCAAGACTTGATTTCAGTTTTGATTGCGTTGATTGCAGTTTTCGTAGATGTTACATGTTTGAAGGGGCAGAATGTTTATTTAAACAGCGCTCTAAATAACGGCTGGTATATCTTTCTTTTCAATTTTTTTAATTTCTTGATTTTTTTATTTTAATTTCTTGGTGAACTTTTTAATTTCTTGATTTTTTTTCATTTTAACTTATTGGTGAACGATTTAGGCAAAATAATGATATAAATCTGTTATAATTTAACCGCGGTAATGCTTGGTCTGAAAATGCTCTGAACTGCCGCTATAGACACGCTCATTTCTATTGCAACAATCGGGAACAAGGTTTAATATATTTCGTGGCATAAGATAATAAAATTAAAAATTAGAGATAAGCTAGTTTCATTTAAATGTAAAAATGGTTTTCTAGAAGTTTTCAACGCTACATCGAGGTATTTGAAAAATGCTATCAAGCCGAAGTTACGGGAAGGCCGTGTGAGACGCAGGATGCTTACATCCCAGCAGGCTGATAACCTAGCGTGTGGAATACAAAAAATACTAAGTTTCTGAACCTTTTGTTTATTCACTTCATTTTGCCCGCTGGCCTTAGTTCGTGGAATCTGAACCTAGAAAGGATTTTTTTTTCCATGTGTACACGGAAGTTCACGGTAGGTGTGAGTCT